CCCTCAGTCCACAGGTGAGAAGAGGGAAGTCTGGTAAGAGAGGAGACATGCCAAAGTCACATGGCTAGTTTCTGGCAGAGAGACCCGACTTTTACAACTAAACACGGTCTTTCCAGTTCATTAAACTGCTTACCTTATAAAAGTACTGCTAAATAGGGACAAACAGGCTGCTTTGAATGCCTGATGGGTTCAGTATGTGAGCTATGGCTCATAAAAAAATAATTTGCTTCATGAATTTAAGTGTGTCTAAGGCTCATAAAAATATAATTTGTATCATGAATTTAATACATCTCGCATGAGTGACTGTACTAGCTCCAGTAAACAGTCACTGCTTCTTTAGCAATGACTTGAATTTTCAGAATTACTGAACTGAACTGAAAATGCTTTTAAAGAAGAGTTTGTCTCTAGACAAATTGATAGAATGTGAGATCTTGGACTGGATCCTGATTTAAAAAGGAAAAAAGCTATAAAGGACTGAATTGGAATAAGGGGAGAATGTTTGAATATGGACCATATATCAGAAAATGACATACCACTGTTAAATTTCCTGAATTCAATCATTGTGTCATGCTTATATAGCAAAATTGTGTTATTCTTCAGGTTGCATGAGGAAATATTTGAAGGTAAAATTTCATAATCTGAGAGTAAGTTACTCTCAAAAGTGTTAAGAGTTAAAAAAATTAATACTTATATAAATAAAGAGCTATGGCAAATGTTACAATGGAATATGGATGTTAATTGCTCTTCTAAAGGATGTTAGGTAGGCTTGATAGGTTTTCCAAATAAAGTTTTGGGAAAAGAAAAAAGAAGAGTTTGGAAGACCCATGGTTTTTGATGGGGAAAGTAAAAAACTGTCCAGAGAGCTTTGAACAATTATCCTCTTTTTTTTCCCCCTCTTGATAAAAATTCCTGTAGCAAAGGTACCAATTAGAATCAAGACCTTTGGCCATTTCTTCCAAAACAAGGAATCCCAGTGCTTACAGTTCTGAAGGCATCTCAAAGAACTTTGTTGCTAGACTGAAGAGCAAGAGTCTCTTGAATTTGGTCTTCTACAATTCCACTTTTTTCCTGCCATGCTTTTCTCTTTCTCTCTCTCACTTTTTAAAAGGGGGACAGTATTTCTTCATTTGCTTCCTCCCAGTATTATTCTGAGCCAACCCAACACAGGAGCCTTGAAAGAGACAAAAGACAGGGACAGCTTAAAATGATGGGGAAGGATTGAGATGGAAGCTGGGGTTAGGAGGAAAAGTGTGGGCTGAAAGCATCCGAATGGAAGCATCTTCCAGTGGGCACTTGGCATAGGGAACTGCTGAAGAAATGGTAGGTTCCCAGGTAAAGGCACAGCAGGTGAATTGTAACTGTGAATGGCAGCAGTGCAATCTAGGATGAGTAGGAAGGCTCCCCAAAAGTGAGAGGTTGAGTAAGATGGGGGGCAGATTTAATCTGGGAAAATCTGGGGAAATCTCTGAACTGTGGGGAAGCAGTGAGTAGTATAATGATGATGACTCTATTTTCCTGAAATCTTAACCAGGATGGGAGGGGGAGTTTGATGGCTGTCTTATCCTTCCATATCAGGGTGGTTATATGGATAATGGGTAAGCAAGAATATTGATGCCAGAGAAGGGGGAGAACTTAGTTTAGAAAATAGCTTAGCTGGAACAAGGGGTGGGGACAACATGAATTTTTCATGAAGACCATTTTTTGGCTCTTTCTGTGTGAATGAAGACATATTATGGATGAGAACACACAGGCACATACTTTGGAGTGATAGTATTAACTAGATAGCATTTTAGCCCACAAGACACACGTCCAGTGACTTGTAGGTAGCATGAATGAACAGGTACTGAGTTCATTCAACTATTGGTTGAGTCTATGGAAAACAAAGCTGGGATGTGTAACCTTGCATTGTCTGGTCAGATCTGCTGGAAATCAGAAAATTCCCAATTAGAATACTAGAACTGCAAGGGACATCTGAGGCCGCAGTAGCAGGAAAGGAAGTGATATTCCTCCCTGTGTAAGCCCAAGGATGCAGCTCAATATAACCCAAGGAGAATGGTGATGTGACTGTAACAGAGATACACAGGCAGGTACTGAAGTTTAGGGAGGGGGAAATTAAGTTTCAGTGGGAGAATCTGAGGTTAGCGTCCATACATACCAAGTTCCCACTGGCTAAACAGTTTACCCCTTTTTTGCTTAACACTGAGGTTTGCTTTCCTGCCCCACTGGCCAAAGAATGTGCTTTTGAAAAACTAAACACTTAGAGGCTTGGGCTTGCTGGCAACTCTTTGAAAGAAGAATTGAGGAGCCAGAAGAAGAACTTTATCCTACAGGATCCCTGTTCTTTTCTCAGAGATAGCAAAGCTTGAAACCCTTTATACCAAGAGGTTAGTGTTGTTCTGGCCCATTAAGCATCTAGGATAAATGTTCTCATTTTATAGATGAAGAAATTGAGGGCTGTATGGAAGTCAGTCACAAAATCACAAGCAGAACCAAGAGTCTTAACTTGGATTTCATTGCCCTAAATAATGCAAAACAGGTTATCTAGAAAAACATATTCAGATTATATAAAGTGTAAAATTTAAGATGGAAATAAAATATGTTCTAAAGCATATAATCTGCATTAATTCTACCCTTCATGTTTCAAGAGAAGAGGAGGGTGCTTCCTTCTTAAACCTGACTTTCAAAACCTGGCAAATAGATCTAGAAAGGGAAGGTGCCCTGCAGTGAGCATGGGAGGGAGAGTCAGTGAGGGTGTTACAGAGCAGTATAGCATGGAGGCGAGGCGGTGTGCTTGGCACAAGCCTGGAGCATGGTAGAGGCTCCAAAGATGTTTGTTCCTTTCCTTCTCAGAAGATTAAGAGCCCCCCTCCCCCAGCCCCACCAAGGCTGGCATGGCTTTGGCACAGCCTCAGTGGTGTAATGGACCATTAGTGCATTGTTCAGATACCTGCAGGTAACATTTGACATTGGATTTAGGTTCACTCTAAAGCTTTTAACCTATGGTTTATACGCATGATTATATAAGCCAGACTGGGGAAAAAAAGTCAAGCAGACACATTCATTTACTCATTTCAGTGTTGTCTTAATGCAAACCAAATATCCTGAATAGCTCAGTGTCAGTCATCTCTTCCCTACTTTGGCCACTTAGTTGAGACTTAGGATTGAAGACTTGGGAGAGGGGGTGTGAGAAGGTAAATAACACTTACTGAGTTTCTGCTATTAACTAAGAACTATGCATAGCACATGAGCTTATCTTGTTCTGCTTTTACAAAAGCCATGTTCTTCTTACTCACTTTTATAGATGAGGAAACCAAGACTTCAAGAGTATTATGAATTATCCAAGGTCATTTAACTCAAATACAATGAAACTGGGAATGTTTTCCCAGTGAAAAGCGTATGTTTTCACATTCTTTTATGCTAACCCTGCCCTAGGATCTGAGAAATCCTAGGGAAATCTGTAACTTGTGGCATGGTTGTGGAGGTGCACAGTCATAGCCATCAGATGTGAGAATAAGATGCTAAGGGTGAAAGAAAAAGAAGATATCTATGTTTCACCCCAAATGGTAATGAGACCTAACACTTGTATCGTGTGTCATGGTTTTCAAAACAGTTCAAATGAACTTCCCACTTTATAGGTAAGAATACAGAAACTTAGCATTTAATTCAAAGTCACAGAGCCAGTAAATGGGAAAACTGGGGACTCAAATCCAGAATGTTTGACATTAAGTTCAATTCTAGTACTGCATACTGCATCCCCTATGTATATGGACACATAGACCAAGGAAGGACCTTGGTTGAGTTTAAGCATGGAGACTCTGTGTACTTGGTGACGTGATGGGTCTTCTGATGTTCATCCACCTCTGGGTATCATTGAAGAGCCCAGCTTCCAAACTGCTTAGCATGATCACCGAGTAATACATGATCACTAAATGGCTGAATCAATGTACACTTGGATCTTGGAGTTGCATAAAGCCTATGACTGCAATCTTTCGTTGGGTACCCAGAGTTAGACAAACCCAGGGACAGAGGAACTTCCCTGAAGCCCCTCATTCTCTGGGTTTTCATGTAGAAAAATCATGGAGTTGATAGTTATAAAGACCTGGTTACAGGAAGGAAAATTCTCCTCTTCTCAGTGACTGGCTACTGTGGAGTCCTGGTGTGGCATGGGAAGGGAACAGTTAAGGTATTTTGCAAAATGGCAACTTTTTTTCTTTATTTTCTTCTTTTTTTCTTTAAATTTCAAAATCTTTAGTGAATTTGTTAAGGTATTGCTTCTGTTGTTTATGTTCTGGTTTTTTGGCCATGAGGCATGTGGTATCTTAGCTCCTTGAGAGGGGATCGAACCCTCACCCCCTGCATTAGAAGGTAAAATCTCAACCACTGGACCACCAGGGAAGCCTGAAAACTGACAACTCTTCTGAAGCATCCTTGGTCAACTTCTTTCTGTGAGAAGTTGTGTGTTTCCCCATATCGCATTCATGCTCTGAAAAATCCCCTGTTGAGACTCTTCCTGGCACAGAAGAAAAAGCAAGGGGGAACACTGAGGCTAGTATTGAGGAGGCTCCAAAGTCTCTACGCCTGTCATCTCTTCCATCAGCAGAACTGGGTGGCGAGCCTCCAGAGGCCCTAGGGGCAGCTGGCCTCCCTTGGATTGGTCCAGAGCATGGAGCAGCATTCTGCAGAATGCCCTTTTTTTTTTCTTTTCCAGATTGAGAAACTCTCATCCTGACCTCCTCTTTTGATGATTTTACAAAAATCAAATGGCGTGACAGATGCTCAGATAAACAGAAGTTTGCAATCAAAGCAACTTCTGGGATGGAGCTGATTAATAGATTTTTAAATGGCTATTAGCTTGATAATCACTCACCAGGAGTAGCTTCCAGGCAGACCAAACCCTTGCATACGTGGGCCCACACCCATGCTCACCAACACCTAGTTGGCAGGTATAAAAGGGGACCATGACAGTCTTCCAACAGCAGCACCGAGTCTCCCATCGGATCTCCTCTCGGGAACCTGCAACTTCCCTCTCCGGGCAAAGGCATCATGAGCTGTCAGATCTCCTACAAGTCTCGAGGAAGAGGAGGAGGAGGTGGTGGAGGATTCCGGGGCTTCAGCAGCGGCTCGGCCGTGGTCTCCGGTGGAAGCCGGCGATCAGGAACCAGCTTCTCCTGCTTGAGCCGCCATGGCGGTGGCGGCGGGGGCTTCGGCGGAGGCGGATTCGGCGGAGGTGGCTTTAGCAGTCGAAGTCTCGTTAACCTTGGAGGGTCCAGGAGCACCTCCATTAGCGTGGCTGGAGGAGGTGGAAGCTTTGGCTCCTATGGAGGATTTGGTGGCAGAGGAGGTGGCTTTGGAGGCGGCCTCGGCGTTGGAGGAGGCAGTGGCTTTGGAGGAGGCAGTTTTGGTGGCGGCGGCTTTGGTGGAGGCCGCTTTGGAGGTGGTGGTGGCTTTGGAGGTTTTGGGGGTCCTGGTGGCTTCGGGGGTCCTGGTGGCTTCGGACCTGGAGGATTCCCTGGTGGAGGTATCCACGAAGTGTCTATCAACGAGAGCCTCCTGCAGCCTCTCAATGTGAAAATTGACCCGGAGATACAAAACGTGAAGTCTCAGGAGCGGGAGCAGATCAAAGCTCTGAACAACAAATTTGCCACCTTCATCGACAAGGTGAGTCATGAGAAGCTGGCTTCCTCTGAGGCGCAGGATGCCCTGCTTTTAGTGCTAATTGAAAAGCAAATGATAGAGATTCATTTTTTAAGGAGCCATAGGTGCAGTGTGGAGAAGGCAATGGCGCCCCACTCCAGTCCTCTCGCCTGGAAAATCCCAAGGACGGAGGAGCCTGGTGGGCTGCAGTCCATGGGGTCGCTAAGAGTCGGACACGACTGAGCGACTTCACTTTCACTTTTCACTTTCATGCATTGGAGAAGGAAATGGCTACCCACTCCAGTGTTCTTGCCTGGAGAATCCCAGGGATTGGGGTGCCTGGTGGGCTGCCATCTATGGGGTCGCATTAAGGCGGACACGACTGAGGCAACTTAGCAGCAGCAGGTGCAGTCACACTGTTCTGGGTAATCAGCAGTATCCATAGGGGAAAGATGCAGGCTTCATGGCCTCCATCTTCCATAATAGTCTGTGGTTGGGACTTCACTTTCACTTTTCACTTTCATGCATTGGAGAAGGAAATGGCTACCCACTCCAGTGTTCTTGCCTGGAGAATCCCAGGGATTGGGGAGCCTGGTGGGCTGCCATCTATGGGGTCGCATTAAGGCGGACACGACTGAGGCAACTTAGCAGCAGCAGGTGCAGTCACACTGTTTTGGGTAATCAGCAGTATCCATAGGGGAAAGATGCAGGCTTCATGGCCTCCATCTTCCATAATAGTCTGTGGTTGGGAATTAATTGTGACTTTGGCTTTATTGTCTCAGCCTAAACAAACAATACTAATGGAAAATTCTGAAAATCATAAAAAAAAAAAACCTGACACAGACAAGAAATGTACTATTTCAAGCCGAACGTTTTAGAGGGAATGGGTAAAATGTCTTCTGAGACTGTTCTTCCTTCTCTAGGAGTTATTGCTCTATTAAATTCTGGGAAGCTAAGCCTGAAATATCTATTTAGGAATGAGTGAAATTTCTGCCTTCAAGAGAAGCTTTCTTAGTTTTATAAACCACAAAGTTTTTAATTGATGTCACTTTGGAGTGTGATAGGGTTCTCTCCCATTTCAAGGCAGAGGAACCTGTCTAAGAAATTTACAAGGCTCTTAAAAACCAGATGGAGGAACCCTGCCCTTATACTCATAGCCCTTAGGAGCAGTGCCAGTGAAAGCTTGCTTTTGATTTTCCCGAGGATTTATGGGACATTTGCTGGGAATTAAAGTAGGATCAGGGTGGGGGAGATGGCATGGAGTTTTGAAAGCAGCTGCAAACAAAATAGTGGGTGGGAAAGTAGGAAAAAAGAGTTCTCTGCGTGGAGAGTGCCAGATGTAATATTTAGGAGCCTACAGAACTTTCCAAGTGTGGAGACAGAGAGCTCAGAAGCTCGGCCTGGCATGATCCGGCATGCAGCTGGTAAGGATGAAGCCATGTGGTTTTCCCTATCTCCCAAAGGAGAATCAGAGCTGACCCTGGCCTGCTGGTGGGAAGGACAACCCAGAGCTCATGTGCTTCCCTTCTGGTCCCCACAGGTACGATTCCTGGAGCAGCAGAACCAGGTGCTGCAGACCAAATGGGAACTGCTACAACAAATTGATGTGGGCACCCGTACCACCAACCTGGAACCCCTCTTCCAGGGGTACATCAGCCAACTGCAAAGTTATTTGGACAAGCTTTCTTCAGAAAGAATGTCACAACAGTCAGAGCTGACCAACATGCAGGATCTTGTTGAGGATTTTAAGAAGAAGTAAGTGGCAGAGTAAAAACTAAGCGGACATAAACATTGATTTGAGCCCATCCAATCATTGCCCCAGAAAACCACTCATCTCTCAGTTGCATTTGTGGGGATAAAGGGGAGAACCTTCTGTATGTTTGCTGATTGTTTGGGAGGGAGACATTTAGGGCTTTAGAGATCATGTTTTTGACAGGTTTGATGGCTAATATATAGGAAAGCATCCTCATCTGGGTTATCATCATTTCAATTTAGACAAAAGTGTTTTTTTAATAGTCCCAGGAAATGGAGTATTTTGGGTGAATCCAGTAGGAAAAGAAGAAGAAAAAGGGAAACAAACTAGTACTAATCTAACTGCAGTGTCCTTGGGTACCAACAGGTATGAGGATGAAGTCAACAAGCGCACAGCTGCTGAGAACGAGTTTGTAACACTTAAAAAGGTAAATGAGAGGATGTCATGGTTGGGGTGGGAGTGAGGATGCATCAAAACCCATCATGCCTAGATGGACAGGCTGGAGCACACCTCTGAGTGAAAAAAGCACTAGCCAGAGAAAGGGCAAAGCATATCCATGGCTGGTTCTCTTAGAAATAAAGGTGTCTCTGTAGTTCAAGCTTCAGGCAATTTCTGCACTTTTGCTAGGACATTTCCCATCTATTACCTACTCAAAGACTGTATTGGATCTTGAAAGCTATGACCATAGAAAGCACTTGATTTGTTTTCTAAAGGGCCGAGGAAGGCATGGGACTTCCTTAGATTGCCTGCTTAAAGATGTAGTCAGTTGGGCTGACAAAGGTTTGAGCCTGAAGGCAGAAGTGTGGGTTCTCAACCTGGTTTCTGCAGAAGCTTTGGTGTGAAATCCAGGAGAGGTGGGATGGATAGATAGGATGGGAGAGTTGGGGACTGTTAAAAGCCACAGAGGCTATTATGCTCTTTGGTGGAAATACAGAGCATCTCAAGCAGGAAGGAGAGAATGGTTGACAAAGCTCAGTCCCATCAGAGCTCTGATGGTCTTGGGGGAGTGTGAGCAGTGACATGGGCATTGTAGCCCCCTGCAGAGATGCACTGTGGACGTCATGGCGAATGAGGTCCTGTGGGGTTGTGGATTATCTGAGGTACCTGGGATTTTGGAGAGCAGCTGACAGGGACTGGGAGGAGGAGTGGTAGAGAGGCCCATACACAAAGCACTGCAAGGTGGGGGTGGGGGGCTGTAAACCTCACCAGAGACCCTGACCTTCCCTGTAGGATGTGGACCATGCCTACATGAACAAGGTGGAGCTGCAGGCCAAGGTGGACTTGCTGAGACAGGAAGTGGAGTTCACAAAAACACTCTTTGATGCAGTAAGTAGGCTGCTCTTAAATGGACCCTTGCTACCTACCTTTCACCCCAAAGGAAGTCCTCTTCCACTGGGGAAAAGGGGCTGTGGGTGGGGTTTATTGGTAGCTGACTTCAACTGACCAATATCTAGGCCACTGGGAGCTGGTGTAGGCCTTGGAGGAGAGGAACTTTCTCCTCTGATGTCACAGGAAGTAAAGCTCCGTTAGGACAAATTCCCTCACCCCAGCTCCCCTTAGGAAGAGACTCACCCTGTTTTTCTTCTTATATCCAATATATTTCAGAGGTCAAAATATAATGTACTCCCCCCTTCCCTGCCCAAGTGCACACACATGACTTCTGCAATAGGAAGTACAATTTAGGGCATTTGCCATCAACTGGCTTCTTTCTGGGGGCACTTATTAAGCTGCATAAATGGTGAAGGCTGTTAACTAGGAGGCTCAGAAATGCAGACCCCTCCCCATAATTCTCAGTACTACTTGACTGGGAATGGTGGCTATATCACTTTGTATCCCACCCAGTACATAGTTAGTCTGAGATTCTGCATTTCCCTGGGACCGGGGGAGGGGAATTCCTCCTCACTGCCTGTGGCTGTGGGCAGGGACATCGTGGCCAGACCTTCCCTGTGTTGCAGGAGCTGTCCCAGATGCAACAGAGTATCTCCGACACCACCGTCATCCTGTCCATGGACAACAACCGCAGCCTGGATCTGGACAGCATTATCACTGAGGTCCGGGCCCAGTACGAGGAGATTGCCCAGAGGAGCAAGGCCGAGGCCGAGGCGGTGTACCACAGCAAGGCACGTTCTGGGTGGGCAGGGAGAGCCGCAGCTCTTTCTAATGAGCTGCATTCCAGCCCAGCCAATAAGTGTACAGTAAGGTTATTGGTGGATTTGTCTAGTGGAAATTGGGCATCATTCCCAAGAAAGGGTGTCTATAGTATCCCAAATGCCCTCAGTCAAGTATGGCACTGGTCCCCCATCTCCCACTCAACTTGGTTGACCCTCCCTGGTCAGATCAGACTTTCTTGGCTCAAGATGAGCTTTCTCCAAACTGCAACTCTCCTCCTCTTCCTATGCAGTATGAGGAGCTCAGGATAACTGCTGGAAAGCATGGAGACAGCCTGAAGGAGGTCAAGATGGAGATCAGTGAGCTGAACCGCATGATCCAGAGGCTGCAAGGGGAGATTGCTCAAGTGAAGAAGCAGGTGGGGTCTGTGCCCTAGGATGGCTGCAGTTCTCCTGGCTGAATGCAACTCAGGGTCGGGTGGGAGGTTGTGTGCAGGTGTGTGTGTGTGTGTGTGTGTGTGAGAGAGAGAGAGAGAGAGATAAATTCTAATATAGTGTATGTTGATCACAAAAACCTTGGGCTTGACATAATTAAGACTTAGAACAATTTTAGAGTGATCAAGAGACATCCTTGGGGCTTCCCTGATAGCTCAGTAGGTAAAGAATCCGCCTGTAATGCAGGAGACCCCGGTTTGATTCCTGGGTTGGGAAGATCTGCTGGAGAAGGGATAGGTTACCCACTCCAGTATTCTTGGTCTTCCCTTGTGGTTCAGCAGGTAAAGAATCTGCCTGTAATGTGGGAGACCTGGGTTCAATCGCTGGGTTTGGAAGATCCGCTGGAGATTTCTATGGACTGTATAGTCCATGGGGTCGCAGAGTCAGACAGGACTGAGCGGCTTTCACTTTCAAGATTTATTCTCAAGTAGGGATTAAGTGCAGGGAAAGAATTGTGTTAACTTTTTGATCACTTTCATGGGTGAAATGGAACAGTGTCTTACGAAGCTAAAGGTCATGGCTCATCAAAGATCACAGGTGTCACCTCCCATTTGTACCTCTTTGCACAGCTGGCTGTGTGATGCAGGGGTGGGGAGTGCTGCAGGGGGTTGGCCAGGTTTGGACATTAGCTCTGGAAGAGGTAATGTGGGGCAGAGAACTGACTCCACAAGCAACAGAAGTTTTATGAAGCCATCCACACCAGTGTTTGCACCTGCAACTGTACAATGGGGTAACAACTCGGGTCCTAGGTTGTGAGCATCAAAGGTCACGATGGGGAAAGGGTTAAAGGTCCAGTCAAAGGGGACTTAGGAAGACAGAGGCTCAGAGACAGCAGCAAGTCTTAGCAATTGTTTGTAACTTGCATTAATTCTCTGGTGACACACTTCCAGGGCCAGTGATCCTGGCTTCTCACACCCTGCACATCCTTGCTCCCTCCCTCTCCTCCTCTGCCAAGCCAGATTGCACTTCCTGTCCCAACAGAAGCCTTTTCTACTTCTCTCCTAGTGTAAGAGTGTACAAGACTCCATTGCAGATGCTGAGCAGCGGGGAGAGAATGCCCTCAAAGACGCCCAGAGCAAGCTGAGTGAGCTGGAAGAGGCTCTGCAAAAAGCCCGCGAGGACCTGGCCCGGCTGCTGCGTGACTACCAGGACCTGATGAACACCAAGCTGTCCCTGGATGTGGAGATCGCCACCTACCGCAAGCTGCTGGAGGGCGAGGAGTGCAGGTGAGGGGCCCCAGGAAGCCAGAGGGTACCCTGGTCCACCTTCTCCTCTCCTGGAGCCAGGGCTGGAGGTGGAGGCAGAGAAAGCAGAGGGAGGGGCAGGGCCTTCTGACAGCTGAGAGCTGACATCACTGGAGAGATTCAGGACACAGAGCAGCGCTGCAGAGCTGTAGGCTTCTCAGTGAGGGACGACTAACAAGGCAGATTAAATTTTAAATTACCTGAAGCAGTAAATTAATTTTTCTCTTTTCTGAAAGGGAAAACTGATGGTGTGAACACAGATTAGTTCTTGACAATCTGGAACATCGTCTCTGGGTCTGCAGGGTGTGTGGTGTCTTCTCCTTCCACCTTGTGACCCAGCGTGGGATGTTGTGGGTTGGAAGGTGCTGCCTGGCTGGGGCATGCCCACAGAGCAGGCACCAGATCTAGCTCTTGGCAGGTTTCTTGAGTGACGTCCAGAACCACATGTTAACTCCCAAAGGGAGCCTTTCCTTCTTCTGTGGTCTAAGACATTTGTTAGTGTCCTCATTACCCCTGGTGATTCAGTCTGGCTGAAGCAATTAGACGGGAAAAGCCCCTCAGTCCACCAGAGAGCCAGTATTACAGAAAGGGAGCAGCTTTGGCTTTGTTTGGGCTGCTGCTGGGTACCTGTCTGGAGGCCGGGCCTCCTCTCCCCAGCTTGCAAGATGAAGTGGGAAAGAATTCAGATGAAGTAGGGGAGGGCGGGGTGGGAGCCAGGACAGGGAGGCTGTACAGAGTCGCAGTTTTCTCTGAATTGAATGTTCACAGGAGAGTCTTCATTTGAGAATTTCTGGTGAGGCTTGGATTCTGCATATCAGACTCCCTAAGATGGATTTAAATAAAACAATGGGTTGCCAGTTCAGAAGTGAATTTGCTTTCGATCAGTTTTATCAGAGCAAGAAATTGAGATGACTTGGGGTGCCAGAGTGTCTGGAAACATGGGGCCTGTCCCCATCTCTGTCATCTGGCAGCACCAAAGAAAGTAGGCTGTGTGAGGCCGTGGTGGCTGAGTTTTGAGGTTGACGTGGGTGATCGTAGGTGGAAGTTGTAAAACTGCGTATGTAGAGTCCCTAAATGCTCTGCCCAGAGTTATTTTTTCTCTCTCTCTGGCAGGATGTCTGGAGACCTCAGCAGCAACGTGACTGTGTGTAAGTGCAAGGGGCAGGGGAGTGGTCCTGTCCTGGGGGTGGAGTGGGGCAGAGGCGCCGAGGCAGTTGGAACTGAGGTGTAATGCTGTCTGTCTCTCTGCAGCTGTGACGAGCAGCAGCATTTCTTCAAGCGTGGCCTCCAGGGCTGGGCTTGGAGGTTATGGTTCTGGAGGTAGAGGGTCCAGTTCTGGAGGAGGATTCAGCTCTGGAAGCAGCAGTTACAGCTCTGGAGGCAGAGGATCTGGTTCCAGAAGCGGTGGTGGGAGTTATGGCTCTGGAGGTGGCTCTCGAGGAGGTTATAGTTCTGGAGGAGGATACAGTTCTGGAGGAAAACGCAGCACTGGAGGCGGCTCCAGAGGAGGGTCCAGCTCTGGAGGAGGCGGTTATGGCTCTGCGAGGGGTGGTTCTGGCTCCTGTGAAGGTGGCAGTTCCAGCGTGACCTTCTCATTCAGATAAGGATGGAGTCCGCCCTTGACCCTCCCCCTCCAGAATGCCTGTCTCTGTACATCTGACAGCAAGTCAGATCTTGTTATCCACCTCTCACGGCATTGTGGGGCAAAGGGATGCCCATCTATGGTTTTTGAAATATTTTCAAAAGCCAGCTAACCAATCAGCTGGAGCCAGTAACACCCTCTGTCCCAAGGGGAAGAGTCTGCATTGTTTAGGTTTGTGCTTCCAGCCCTGCCCCCATTCCCTGCCCCTTCTTGCAATTGCCCTTTCGGTGGTCCTTCTCCCAGAGGGTATTCTGTTGAGCACCCCATCTCAAAGCCTGTGCCTTTCCCCTGGTGGTGCCCCCAGGGAAACATGCTTCTGTGTATATAACCCTCTTGTTGGTTCTGCATCTAAAGTGCTGTGGTCTTGGTGTCTGCACAATAAACTTCATTTGCAACTCATAGCATGTGATGTGTGTTTAATGTCAAGCTTTGGCAGGAGTAGCCAGGAGCTATTACTCATTGCTATCTGGTCAGGAAGATCCCCTGGAGAAGGAAATGGCAACCCACTCCAGTATTCTTGCTTGGAGAATCCCATGGACAGAGGAGCCTAGTGGGCTGTAGTTCATGGGGTTGCAAAGGGTCAGACAAAACTTAGCAACTGAACACACACACACACACACACACACACACACACACACACACACTGAGTAGGATGAGCCTTGACTGGAAAAAGAATGAGAATTAGGGCAAGGATTAGATGTTCTTTTTCTTAACTAGGCAAAGTCAGTGGTGGAAGGAATTTGTACTTAGGAGAGTTCTTTTCTGATAGTAAAATAATGAACCAGGACACAGGCAAGTTTTAGGAATTTTCAGTTCTGGAAGTATTGTGAGGTTTATTGAGTACAGTTGAATTGTGGCTGTGAAGTCACTCAGTCGTGTCCGACTCTTTGTGACCCCATGGACTGTAGCCCACCAGGCTCCTCTGTCCATGGCTACAGTCCACGGGGTTGCAAAGAGTCCAACACGACTTAGCAACTAAACCACCACCAACCATCTTTCGCCGTATTTCCTTTTCTTCCAAAAATGATTAATAAATTTCTCAAAGTAGGAAAAGAATACTTGCTCAGACACAACGTCTTTCTAAAGTTCCTAATTTATAATGCTCAAATGTCCTCCAAAAAGTAGTGACATTCTGCAAGAAAGTCCTTGTCACTTTATCCTGGCCAGTACCAAGTTATCAATATTTTCTAATATGGTGGTGAAGCAATATCCCCTTGTTTTAATTAGCATTTATTTCTTAATATTGAAGAAACCTTTTCATACGCATATTTTTCCTTTTGCATTGCTTATTCTCTTCTTAAAAGTCTTTAAAAAGTTTTTTTTAAAATTGGAATATTGTTGATTTACAATTTTGTGTTAACTTCAGGTGTACAACAAAGTGAATCCTTTACACATATACATATACCCACTCTTTCCAAGATTCTTTTCTCATATAGGTCATCACAGAGTATTGAGTCGAGTTTCCCGTGCTATACAGTAGGTCCTTGTTAGTTACCTATTTTATATATAGTGTCTGTATATGTCAACCCCAGTCTCCCAACCTGTCCCTCCCCACTTCTCCCCCGGGGAACTCTAAGTTTGTTTTCTACATCTGTGACTATTTCTGTTTTGTAGACAAGCTCACTTGTATCACTTTTTAAGATTCCACATATAGTGATATCATATATATATGTCTTTCTTCGTCTGACTTACTTCACTCAGTACGACAATCTTAAGGTCCATCCATGTTGCAGCAAATGGCATTATTTCATTCCTTTTTGTGGCTGAGTAATATTCCATTGCATTTATGTACTACATCTTCTTTAATCATTCCTCTGTTGATGGACATTTAGGTTGCTTTCATGTCTTGGCTATTGTAAATAGTGCTACAAGGAACACTGGGGTGCATATATCTTTTAAAATTATAGTTTTCTCCAGATATACTTAGTCCTGCATACTGAAAATTTTCTCCAAGAGGTTTTTAGGTTTACCTTTTAAGTCTATTGTCTATTATGAATCAATTTTTGTCTAAAGTGTGAAACTTAAGTTGAGGGTTTTGTTTGATTGATTGTGCTTTTAATCTCTGTTATGGATTGAATTGTGGCCTCAAAAAAGATATATTGAAGTCTTAACACTCAGTACTTCTGAATGTGATCTCATTTGGAAGTAAGTTTTTAAAAAATTTCCCTTGAGACTTCTTTTTTGACCCATGAGTTATTTAGACATAAATTGTTTAGTTTCCAAGTGTTTGGAAAAAATTTTGTGTTTTTACATTTTTTTTTTTTTTTTTGCCACAGTGTGCAGCTTGTAGGATCCTAGTTCCCCAACCAGGTATTGAACCTGGGCTCTCAGTTGTGAGAGCACACAGTTTTAACCACTGGACTGCCAGGGAATTCCTGAAATCTTGTTTTTTAAGAATTAAAAAATGTTTTAGTTCCAGTTTTATTCCTTGTGGTCAGAGAATACGCTCCATATGATTTGGATTTCTTCTTTTAGTTCTCTCAGTTTGTTTTCTTTTTAAAACTAAAGTATAGTTGATTTGCATGTTGTGTTAGTTTCAGGTGTATAGCCCAGAGATGCAGTTATACATGCATATATATATTCTCTTCAAATTCTTTGGCCCTATAGGTTAGTACAAAATATTTGGTATAGTTCCCTGTGTTATACAATAGGTCCTTGTTGGTTATCTATTTTATATATAGTAGTGTTTATACATTAATCCCACCATTCTTGGCTCCTGAAGCCCCTGGTTGTTGTAATTCTTCTCTCCACCTTTAAGATCTTCCTATATTTATTATATGTGTGATATCCAGGTTTCTGGTTGTGGTAAGTGGGGTGAGTTCACACCATTTCTCCTGCTAGAGCAGTGTCAGAAGAGTCTGTCTGCTCCATTTTTCTGGATGAGAAATACTAAATATTCTTTTACAACATGATTTTAGTGCTCATGAGGAGGATGGGGATTGGCTTTCTGCTTCCTTTGGGCTGATTCCTCAGAGATGCCTGTCCCAGAGGCTTGGGCAAAGGCTCATGGTAGCACTGCCTGCCCCTCTGTGGGAAATGGGGCTGACTTTGTAACTATGTGAAAATTAGATAAGGGTTCAGTAGACATTGATTCCCCAGTGGACATTCCCAAGTGTCTCAGTAGACATTGAGGGCAGGGCCAGGATATGAATTGCAAGGGACCCACTATTTGAAAAGCCACTTAGGAGAGATCTAAGCTGAGGATACTGTCCTTAGGAGAAATGCTTTCAAGGGTCACTGAAGCATCTCTTTGTCTCCTCCATGACTTCCTGGGACCCCTTCCTCCACCCCAGTTCTGCACAGTAACTAGAGAGGAGTAGAGGGAAGATGGGATTTGGATCTTGTCCTCAGGAAACTTTCTGGCTGCTTGGTAGGATTGACACACACCTGGAACACAGGTAGAGACAGGGAGTTAGCATAGACAATCGGTGCAGTTTGGGGAAGCTGGCCAGAGAGGAGTGGCTAGACTGGGATGTGATCAGAGAAGGTTTTCCAGGGTATCTCTGTGGCAGGTTCCCAAGGAGAGAAGGCCAGTGTGGGAGAGGGGAAGTCAAGCCCCTGTAGGGGGAGGGCACTCACATACTGCACTGCCTTCTGAGCGTGAACACTTGCTTTCAGCCCTTAGGGAATGAGCTCGAGGCCCATGACAGCAGTCTGTATTGAACAGATTTGCTGAGACACCACGGGTCTGAATCATGACACTGACATATGGAAAGAAATCAATTAGGGTGTGTTCCTGGCTAGGACACCCTGTGTCCTCATCACAGCACAGCCTTGCTTCATGGCTGTGAAGAAACTGCAGAGGGGAAAACCTTTGTGTCTAGTGAAAGAAGACTGAAAAGATTGCTAAGGACTATTGCTGATAGTGAAATTGAGACTGTCCAAGAAAATGATTATTCTTAACTAGAAAAGAGCTTTTTTGTATAAAAAAGAAGAGGAGGTTGAATTTGGCAATTGCTTGGTACAATAGTTGTAGAAGCATCATACTGTTATAATACAGAGTAAGGCCAAAATCTCTACACAGAAATGGAAAAGAGGGATTGGCAAACTATTCATCTGAGCACTTGCCCTAGTGAAACAATTACATTTTTATGGAGAAAGTATGTACTGTGAATGTATTTGGAATTGGAAATTATGAGACTCTTGGGTCATATACTTTGGTAATATCAAGGATCTATTAAAATTCAAATGTCTACCCTCTCCCTTAGAATTGTGAACTGGGCTTCTGTCTTATTAATTTATGACCCCAGAACCTAGTTTAAGACCTGCGACAGAGTGAACTCTCAACAGAAGTGTGTTAAATGAACAGACAGATGGATGAACAAACACATGAATGGTGGCTGGCTGGCTGGACAAACAAGGCCTGTAGAGCTTCAAAGGTGGGGTCAGAAGACCAACCAAAGGAGTTCTTAAGACCAGGGCCTGCTGTTTCCTCTGGGACTCACACAAAGAAAGGCTCATGAAATGTGATCCTCAGCTATAACAGCAAACATATGAGTTCCTGTTTTTCCATTTGTGAAAGGTGGACCCTCACAGCTCCTCTCCAGGTCTAGTGAATTAAATGAGCTTCTGTGTATGAGGAGCTATTTTAATATTGGAAAGTGCTGCAACACTGTTAGCCACTGTGAATGGTGACAATACCATAACTTCAAGGTTAAGGGTGGCAGTGATGGGAGGGTCCAGTGTGTGTAGCGAAAGGTGTACAGGGCAGCCTGGTTGGCACAGAGGAGCAGGAGACTAGCCTGGGAAGGCACAGAGGCCCTGCAACTAGAGGACCGGGCCTGGATTCCTGGTGGGCTCATCTGCCATGGCCCAGGCCAGCCACGAGGACTGCCTCCGGGAACCCTGGGAAGCCAGGCCACGGAGTCTCTTTCTAACCACATAAAAGCAGCTTAGCCAGGGTTCTGGATGCAGCCCATCTGATTCTGGTACAGTTGTGAAGTCTCTCACAGATGATGCTGTCAATTAAAGGTTTCCCCTCTGCAGCCCCGCAATCTGGTCCCCTCACTCCCACGCCCTGGGGAAGGGCAATCTTGAGGCTGTGACAAACTTCCCAAGATCTTTCTAGGGATAATTCAGTCAGCCTAATTATCCCACGTTAATTAGATAAGACTCAAATTACAGGAGCAAGGCTTGCAAGCCTAGCACCCTGGGAGGTTTAAGTTATTTGCCCGGTGTGTCTCTGATTTTGCTGGGAAAAAATGATTTGCTCCAGGCAAAATAAGCCCACAAATTAGGGCAGTGGCTCCCTTCTGAGCCCTATAAAGGAGGTGTCTGAGACCACAGGCTGAGAAGCTGCATCTCAGCTAAGGGTTGGCATCTCATTCCACCTCGCTGGCCTCCCCAGCATGAGCCGCCAATTCACCTACAAGTCGGGAGCTGCTGCCAAGGGGGGTTTCAGCGGATGCTCAGTTGTCCTCTCTGGGAGCAGCTCACCTTCCTACAGGGCAGGGAGCAAAGGGCTCAGTGGGGGCTTTGGAAGCCGGAGCCTGTACAGCCTGGGGTGTGCCCGGAGCGTCTCTTTCAACATGGCCAGTGGCAGTGGGCGGGCAGGGGGCTATGGGTTTAGCCGAGGCCGAGCCAGTGGCTTTGCTGGCAGCATGTTTGGCAGTGTGGCCCTGGGGCCCATGTGCCCATCCCTGTGCCCACCTGGGGGCATCCACCAGGTCATCGTCAACAAGAGCCTCCTGGCTCCCCTCAATGTGGAGCTGGACCCTGAGATCCAGAAAGTGTGTGCCCAGGAGCGGGAGCAGATCAAGGCACTGAACAACAAGTTCGCCTCCTTCATCGACAAGGTGGGAATTCCTGGAGAAACACAAGGTCCATGGCAACTTAGGATATCTAGAAATTCTAAGGCCCAGCTCCTCCTCTCATGGGACCCAGACCAGCTCAGACTTTGGTTGAAAGACAGATTCATAACCTATAATACACCCTAAACTATAAGGCAAGGCAGATGGGGATCAGTGGTACGCTAGAACAGCGGTTCTTTTTTTTTTTTTAAGGATTTTTTAAGTTAATTTATTTAATTGGAGGCTAATTACTTTACAATCTTGTGGTGGTTTTTGCCATACATTGGCATGAATCATCCATGGGTGTACATGTGTCCCCCATCCCAAAATCCCCTTCCACCTCCCTCCCCATCCCATCCCTCTGGGTTGTCCCAGTGTACTGGCTTTTTTTTTTTCATTTATTTTTATTAGTTGGAGGCTAATTACTTTACAATAGTGTAGTGGTTTTTGTCATACATTGACATGAATTAGCCATGGATTTACATGTATTCCCCATCCCGATCCCCCCTCCCACCTCCCTCTCCACCCGATCCCTCTGGGTCTTCCCAGTGCACCAAGTCCGAGCACTTGTCTCATGCATCCAACCTGGGCTGGTGATCTGTTTCACCCTAGATAATATACATGTTTCGATGCTAGAACAGCGGTTCTTAAAAGGGGTCCATGAACCGATAGGGCCGGCATCACCTTGGCACTTGTTGGAAATGCACATTCTCAGGCTCCATATCATACCTACTGAACCACAAATTCTGGGAGTGGGGCCCAGAAAACTGTGTTTTAACAAGCCCCCTGGTGATGTTGAGGCACTCTCATGTTTGAGGACCACTAAAGAGCAAAGGGGTAGGAGGGTTTGGGGAAGTAAACATTTTCCAAGCTTATGGGAGCAGGGGAAGCTCACCACGGGTGATAGTGAGGTAGGGCAGTGACGCATGAGTAGGAGTTTGCCAGACAGAGGTGGAGAAAGGCAACCTAAGGAGACGGAAGAATCACGTGCAGCCTGATGAGACTTGTCTGAAGAGTGGGGAGAAATGCAGTTTGTGTGTGTTGGGAGAATTGTGGGAGTGGCACTGGCACATTGGAAAATCACAAGAAGGGAATTTGGGCTTGACCCTGTAGGTGGTGTGGAGCCACTGGAGGGTTTTGTGCAAGGGAATGGTGGAATGTTCGTAGATTGCAAATTGAGAAGGCTGGTTCTCTCCCTGGGGAAATGCTCTGAGATCATAGGCAGCCAGAGATGAAGGCACCATGAGAGGGCCCGAGACTCCAGATCAATTGGATACCGGCCTCTGGCTGGGCTGGGAGAGATGGTGATGAAGGAGACAGAGTAGGCAGAGCACAGGCCAGACCACCAGAAACCCAGAGAAGGGGTCCCCAAGAGTGTGAAGGCCAGTATGGCCAGATTACATGTCTAAGGACTTACCCAAGAAAGGTGGATGAGGCTAACTATCGACACTGGTCCAGGCAGGTAAGGACAGTTGCATAGAAGACAGATCTTGATGAGGGGCGAGGGAGGATGGTGAGGCCCCTCCTGACGTCAGTGGCTGCTCCCCAAAAGAAAACTGCAGTCAGACAAAGGACATGGGTGGGAAGGGGTAGGAGAATCATTTTCTGAGGGATGAGGCTACGTAACGTAAGGGAACATAGCTACTGTCCAGGAAAGAAATTCCCTGGCCTCTTGCCATTGACTATTGGCTGGCTGGATTCCAGGTGAGGTTCCTGGAGCAGCAGAACCAGGTTCTGGGGACCAAGTGGGAGCTGCTGCAGCAGCTGGACCTGAACAACTGTAAGAACAACCTGGAGCCCATCCTCGAGGGCTACATCAGCAACCTGCGCAAGCAGCTGGAGACGCTGTCCGGGGACCGGGTGAGGCTGGACTCGGAGCTGAGGAGCATGCGTGATGTGGTGGAGGACTATAAGAAGAGGTGAGTGGAACCCAAGCTGACCGCCTCCTGGGCCCAGGCTTTCCCCACAGGCACTGGGATGTATGCCTCTGGCCTCAGGTGAGAGTGACCCATCCTGAGATCCTCTGCCCAGACAGGATCAGGGCCTTCTCTGGGCGGCCAGGTGGGTTAAAGAGTGGACAGCCAGCATTTCGGGCAGTGGTGAGGCTGTCCTAGTTGGTGGCTCTCTTGCTCTCCATTCACGAGAGCCCAGGTGTGTATACCATAGCCTCTCGGGTCCTAAGTTCTTTCAAGTTGGCCCCAAGTTCCCGGAACCGCCCAACTTTGTTGGGAGCTGTACTTCCCACTGGGCTTCCTCTCACTTCCCTCAGATCCTAGACATTTAGGCCATGCTCCTTCCTCCTGTCCTAGGGGACTGTCTGACTTCCTTGGGACTCACACTTGGCAATGGGGTGAAGTTATTGGTAGGGGTGTCAGGCAGCTGGGGTGACACAAGAATCATGACTGAGAGAGGGACAGTGGCGTGTTCCTGTGATCTGGACAGAGAGGGAGGACGAAGAACCTTTTCATTCTCCAGGCTTCAGAGGAAATCTAGACCTAAGCCATCCGGTCTCCAGATCCAGGAGGAGGTTGCTTCAAACCCTGCCCACGGTGCTGGCCACATAGTTCTAATGAGTCAGATAGATTTGCAAAAATGTGAAATAATATCTATTAAAAGGTACATAACATGAGCATCACATCTCTTCTATCATGTTGAGAACACATCCACCCACACCCACCCACACCCACACACACCCTTCTCATCATGATGCTTCTCCTGCAGGTATGAGGAGGAAATAAACAAGCGCACAACTGCTGAGAATGAATTTGTGGTGCTTAAGAAGGTGAGGACAGAATGCATGTTCCTCGGTCCAGCAGGGTGAAGAGTGTAGGGGGTGAGGGAGGTGAATCAGAGAAAAGACTGGAGTCTCTACCCCCTGCAGAAGGGCCTGGAGCTGAAGGGCCACAGGAGAAGGTGGAGGGATTTTTGGCCTGGGGACACCTCGATGTTTATCTAGCACACTTCACTTTGTCGAGGCCTTTCTTGTGTAAATGAGCAGGAGTGCAGATGTGGACAGTCACTCCCAGGCCAAAGCATATGCATAAACAGCATATGCTTTGAGAAGGGCTGCAGGTTCACCTTCCAACTCTGTCTCTGGTCACCTTCAGCTCTGACCACCGTGTGACCGACCATATGGAGGTAGGGCTCTCTCCCATACTCTCTTTGAGACAGAGTAGGCAGTAAAAAGCTTCCATTCTTGGATGAGGCAAGAGGAGTTCCGGAGGCATAAGTAACCTGCTCAGGGTCTTGCAGTGAGTTCTGGGTGGGGGTCACTTCTTGATCCTTGTGTCTTGACTCCATTTTTGGGGGCAGCTAGTCACTGAACTGGGTCTGGGGGGCCAGCACCTGGGAGACCTCTGTCTGGGCTTGAATAGCGATGTCAGGGTCTCTCTGGATTCCCCTAGGATGTGGACGCGGCATACATGAGCAAGGTGGAGCTGCAGGCCAAGGTGGATGCCCTGGAGAGAGAAATAAAGTTCTTTACATGCCTGTACGAGGAGGTAAGTCTCCCCCAGTTCCTGTCCCCATCCTAGCTCAATCATCTGGAAGGACATGTGAATGAGTGGTTACTAACTCATCAGGAACTTTAAGAGCCCAGGGAATCTCCAGTGTTGGGACGCTGGGAGTTTTGTAGAGCAAAGCAAGAGTGACACCAATCTTGGTTCATCTGATGATGTGTGCCATCCACTCCAGCCTGGCCACCAGCTGTCCCCTCTCACATCTTTCAGGAAGCCATGGGGCCCTAAGGGGTCCCCACTGACCCTCAGCCAAGCATATTCTCACTTCTGCTTGTCTTCTCTCTGTGGCTTGGGAATTTTCTCGGGTCTTAGGCATGAGTCCCCAGGGATGGAGGTGAAAATCCTCACACCCTTTCTACTACCGCCTCTGTGACCATCTGGTTTCAAGCCTCAGCCTGTTGGCCCATTCATGGGCTCTCAGATGTACTTACTATCCCTTGTGTGATGGCCAGGCTCTCTCCCCTCCACCTTCTGCACTCCTAACCTATCTCAGGTGACAGTCATGGGGGTCGGTTTCTTCTTGAGCTACTTCAAAAACCATCCAGCAGTTTTAGATGTGGTGTTGGAACCTCTGGACCAGTGAACTCCATTCTTGGAAGTGTTTGGGGACCACAACTTGAGTCTATTTGGGAGGATCTGGGGGGCTCCCTGCTGGTCCAGGTCCATCACCTTGGCACATTCTTCTGCTCACAAAAGGCAGCTCAAGCTTCCTTGTTGCCCCTGCAGGAGATTGCTCAGATGCAGTCCCACATCAGTGACACATCTGTCATCCTGTCCATGGACAACAACCGGGACCTGGACCTGGACAGCATCATTGCTGAGGTCCGGGCCCAGTATGAGGACATAGCTCTCAAGAGCAAGGCGGAGGCCGAGGCACTGTACCAGACCAAGGTGAGCTGCACACCTCCCCAGGGTCATGTGTTCCAGAGCCTCTGGTCCATCCCATGACCCACTATGGCCCACATGCTCGCTGGGAGCACAGCATTGTCCAGGGTGCCGGGGGAAGCCCCAGAGAAGGAAGAGATTGCAGCTCTGTCCTTAGGAACCATGAAGCCATCAGAGAAAACACACAGCTGAGTGCAAATGAGTGTGTCACAGAAACATGAACCTTGGGGAGACAGAGGTTAGGGAACTAGTACTGGGTGGGGCAAGTCAGGAGCCATGTCCTTAGAGGCTGAGAGTTTTGAACTAATTCTGGAAAGAAGGAAAACATGGGTAGTTAGCATCTCAACTCCCTTGTTTATGACAATAAATTAGGGGATCTCATCTGAGATCAGGTCACTCCTATATTTTCATTCAAGTCCAACTCCAAGGAGAAAGGGGTAGGTTTGAGTCCCTTAGATCTTAACTCCTCTAATAGGTTGTGGGTGGGGAAATGAGTCTTCAGATAATTTAGTTTCTCAGATCAAGATGGCGACTTCCTAATTGTCCTTAAGGTTTATCAGGTTCCTTCTCAAGGGAAACCCAAACTGTTGAGACCTTATCTTGACCCTCCCCCTGCCCCCTTGCTACCTCAGGGGAAGAAAGACTTGACCTTCAAGGGTGTGAGGAAGGGAGGATTTCATGGCCTAGAAGACAACTCAGGCCAAGGCTTCTTGATAAAGGTTCAAACTCAAGTCCTCAGTCCCCAAATCCTTCTACATTCCAGCCTCCAGCCAGGATCAGGGATGGCTATGTGGCCCAATCATTCTGGATTGTCAGTGATGGTGCTTAACCCCAGATTCCTTCTAGAAGAATTAGGCATAAACATGATGTGGGTTCATTTGTTTCTTGAGGTTACTCACACCAGGATTTCTCCAGCTCAGGTCAAGTACTCACTGAGCAGAATGGCATCAGTGTCATCCCAGAAACAGTACTGTGAATGCTTATTATTACTCCCCTTTTGAAGGTGAAGAAGCGGGGTTTAAGGACTTTAAATAACTTTCCAAGGTCATTCAGCTGATAAATGATGGAACTGGATCTGAATCTACATGTCTGATATTCCCTAGCATTTAGACAGAAAGTCAGGAGGTGACTCTGGTTGAGAACGATTTATGACAAGGGCTCGGGGTGGCTTGGGAGCTGAATGGCAGGAGTTTAATCTCCTGTCTCAGGGGGAGATGACTTGGTGTCAGAATCAGGGACTTAGTGCTCTGGTGAGGAGGGCTATTGTGTAGAGATGCAGAAGGCCACCTGACCTGGCATTAAACATAAAACACAGAGCACATTGAGAAGCTCCCCCTGCCTTCCAGGGAACTTGGCATCCTTAAGAAGAACCCTGACTCTTGGACCATGCTGGAGCCAGATATTAGACAACTGGCAAAACCAACCCCTCAGAGACAGACAGGCAGGGCATGGTCACTGGAGTTCTGAATGTCACATGTTCTTTGTGTCCCCCTTATGTGCCTTTTCATAGTCACTTAGCTGGAAGTGATGGAGATAACCATATTCTGGGGTAAAAATGGAGTACTCTCTGTTGATTATTCAATGGATGACATCAAATGCAGGAATAATCCGAAACTAATAGATGACTCCAAATTCATGACCCATGGTGATAGGATATAACCAAATCTACCCCCGCACTCCCATACACACAAAATGCACCTCCATGTCTAGCAAGACGGCCAGTAGCCTAGAACTCAGCTGAGCTATGAAGGGGAGAAAGTCCCAGAAAAAATAGACCCGTGGCTCATCAGCTCCCTCTTTGGTTCACTCATTGATTCATTCATTCATTCTCCAGACCTCTTTTCTAGTTAGACTCTGTGCTAGATACTGGGAATTCAGAAGTAAGACTAGAGGTCCCTGCCACCCAGTCATTCTGATTCTGATGGGAAAGACATTGAAATGTGTGGTCACAGAACAGAGTGGTAAAGTCTACAGACTGGCATGCCAGGGACTATGGGCACAGATGGGCACCCAAGCAGGGACTTAGTGAAGGCCTCCTGGAGAAAGGGAGTCTGCACTGGCTGAGTTGGACCTGATTAGGGGAAAAGAGAGGATGAATGGGGGAGGCTTTTCTAGCAGGAGGGAGGGCCTCATGCACAGACTCAGAGATTTGAGAGCACATGGGCTCCTTATGGAACCTGGAACTGCTTGGCAGAGGTGGGGAACTGGGTAGATGATGGGTGAGGGCAGTAAGAACTGAGCCTGAAGAGCCTAATGGAGTCAGATCTCAAGGTACCTTGATGCCAGGCTAGGAGTTGTTTGAATTTTACCTTGACTTTGAAGAGCTATAGGCAGGGGAGTATCATAATCAAGGTTACGTATTGCAAGGCTGCAGTGTAGAGGGTGTGAGACTTTTGACTGTCCTTATGGCCAAAACCTTCAGTGAGATCATCTCTGCTGAAGGCAGATAAATCAAGCCAAAGAACAGATGTCTGAGCAGGAGGCTGTTGATAGGCCTGGTGAAGCTGGGGACCCCTACCCACCTCTGCCACACTCCCCAGGCAAAAGCACAACCTGCTAGGCTGAGCTAAGGTTCCTGTGTTGGCCCCTTTCACCCTAGTTCCAGGAGCTGCAGCTGGCGGCCGGTTGGCATGGGGATGACCTCAAACACACCAAGAATGAGATCTCAGAGCTGACCCGGCTCATTCAAAGGCTGCGCTCAGAGGTTGAGAATGTGAAGAAGCAGGTGAAGGGGCTTTGGGGTTTCCTGGCTCACTCCCAAGGGAGGGGTGAACTGTCAATCACACACTCATGTCCCTTCTTCTCAGGGTCTTCCATCTCAGGACTCCTTTCCTTAGACGGAGCCTCTGTTCGCATCCTTCCACACTTAGCTCTCACCTGAATCCTGAAACAATTGGAAAGGCCTTCTCAGAAAGCCAAGGGGCTGAGAATAAGAAGCCTCTCAGTTCCAGGTTGACAGGATACTAACTCCATAGATGTGGCTTTGCTCTAGGAAGTGGGGCAGGATAGAGCATGGTCCAACCACAGTGAGCACTTGGAGGGAGGCAGTGAAGGGAGGCTCAAGGTACCTTAGGACTCAGGGGGCAATGTCACCTCCTGGTCCTCAGTGCTCCAACCTGGAGACGGCCATCACTGACGCTGAGCAGCGAGGCCACTGTGCCCTGAAGGATGCTCAGGCCAAGCTGGATGAGCTGGAGACTGCTCTGCTCCAGGCCAAGGAGGAGCTGGCCCGGATGATGCGTGAGTACCAGGAGCTGATGAGCACCAAGCTGGCCCTGGACATTGAGATCGCCACCTACCGCAAGCTGCTGGAGGGCGAGGAGTGCAGGTAGGTGATGGGAGGGCTCTTAGAATGTTAGGGCTGGAAGGACTTTTGGAATCCTCCGACTTAATTTCCCAGGTGTGGGTGGCAGACTGTTGGAGGGGTTGGAGATACTTTTTAGGTCACCTACAAACATAGCCTTAAACAGCATCCAGTCAGATAATAAGATGGTGATTTCCTTTATGGTTTTCTTTTCAGTCTTCAGACTACAATAAGGAGAAAGCTTCAGCGTGGTGCTCTTGTATATTTAACACTGATCTGACACTTGCAAATATCCTTATTAGTAAAGAGATGGTAGATCCTAGGTTCAAAGTCTCTGAGCAGACAACAATATCTAGCCAAATATTTTTTTGTTTTATTTATTTTCACTGCTACTGTTTTTGTCTTTTTTTGGTCCAGAGATACTGGTTTTCTATGCACCCTATTGATATAAAACTTCCTTTTAAGAGAAATATTTTTGCCATAGAAGATAGTCAATGAAAAATACTAAACATATAACAGTATGAGTTATATGTGGTCATAGCAACAATTGAAAGGGTAGTACATGAAGTGTTGACACTCGAAAATCCCCATCCTAACCTAGCATCATTTTATGAATGAGACCCAGAGAAGAGAAGTTATTGGTCCTAATATCATAGAGTTAGTTTCTTAGCGGCAACTCCTGATGCTAGTATTTCTACACATGTATTTATTCAGGCGGTAGCCCCACAGGGATGAAGTGGGTTGATGAGAAGCACAGCAGGAGGGCCCCTGGGAGGTGATGTTGCCACAGGGGCTCCAGCATTGCAAGTCCACACATCTCAGAAGGAGAAAGACTAGAGAGAGGTGCTTAGAGTCACCCAGGGCAGTTCATGCCACCTGGCCAGATGGAGGACTTGTGGAGGCTGCACTAGCCTGGCTGATGGCTGCAGGCTGGGATGAGGGTAACTCAAATTCCATGTGATGGAGATTCATCTGTGCTTTTGTCCCCTTGCAGGATGTCTGGAGAATATACCAATTCTGTGAGCATATGTGAGTATTTCACACCTCTGAAAGAGTATGTATAGCCCATTAATGAACACAAAGGAAGAGATCCCCTACCACCAGGACCCCCATGGAACAGCCTGGGTTCTGCCTGCTAGAGCAACATTGTCCTAATCACCTCCTGTGCTGAGACCTGCAGCCTCTTCCTTGATGGGGTCAGCTTCCTATCACATTCTGACATTTCACACTTCCCCATTTCTGGCCCCTTCCCCAGAAACCTCACTCATAAGGCTCTCAGCCCCATGCTTTCTGCCACCCCCCATCCTGACTTTGCTGCGTGCCAGAAGCTGTGAGTAGGAAGAGGGGCACCTCCTCACCCGGAGTGAGACCCGGGTGTGCATAGAAACATCGTGCACGAGCAGTTTCGATGCTGCCCCAAGGGATTCAGCCTGGTCTCCTAAGAGAAGCCGGCAAAAACTCTCCTGGTATCAAGCACTCAGGAAATTCTTTGGAAAAAATTAAGAATGTCTTCTTAAGTTAAGCGCAAGACTTGCTGGCTTACATGATGCTTTTAGGTGTCATCTGCTCTTCGGGGGAAGCCCCTGCTACTCTTGTTTGTTCAAAGAATGAGAAGGCTCTGGGCTTGGGGGTCCTGTGGGATCTGGACTGATTCCCCTGGTACTTGAGCTGCTCAGGAATTGAGCATATGTCACTAAAGCCAAGTCCCCAGTTGATGTGGAGTATTACTTAGGAGGGACGCATTTAATCTAGTTAGAGCTGGGAGGCTGGAGAGGACTTCGGGTCAGCCCTATCCTGGGAAATGTACTTATTAGTCCTCCCTCTGTCTTCCACAGCTGTCATCAGCAGCTCCATGGCCGGGACTGCAGGCACAGGAGCCGGTTTTGGGTACAGTGGCACCGGCACTTATGGATATCGGCCCAGCTCTGTTGGCGGGGGCTATGGCTTCCTGCCGGGGGGCTGTGTCACTGGCAGTGGGAACTGCAGCCCCCGCGGGGAGGCCAAAACCAGGTTGGGGAGTACAAGTGAAATCAAGGACCTGCCGGGAAAGACCCTAGCTCTGAGTTCACCCACCAAGAAGACCCCAAGATAAAGTGAAAGACAGCTGTCCAGACAGCTTGCTTTGGTTTCTCCTGGACTCCCTTCTTCAGGAAATTCCTCCATCACACTTGTCATCATCTCCTCCTTGCTTTTCTGCACCGCTGTTGTCTCCTCTCTTGCAACTCTCTAACTTAGTCTTAATGAGGAGTCAGGATGCTAGCCCATCCTTCTGCCTCCATACTAAGAGGCTTCTTAATACAGCCTCCCCTTCCTGCAGAATTGCCAGGGATAAAGACTAGACCCTTTCCTGGCTCTAAGCCCCTCACAGATGAAGCTTTTGTTTCAAGGGCAATCCCAGTCCTCCTGCTTCCCTTTCTGTGCGCTGGTTTAGGTAGTTATTTGGCCATGTGCTCCATGGGTACAGACAGTTACAGGTCCACTGACAGACCTGCAAGGACTATCCCTTCTTAGATCAGCATCAGCTCTGGGGAAACCTTGGGCATTAGTTTACCTTGCATGGTCCCTGCAGACTACAGCCAGGAGAACCCCTGCTGACTGGCCCATTTGTGAAGGCATTTGTGCTCTCAGCATGTGCGTTTTTGTCCTCATTCAGGCCTTTCTTCCCTGCTTCCTCATCTTACCAATAAATTTATACAACTAATGCTGCCTCTCTCTCCTAAGGGAATCTACCTCTTAGGCAAAATCTCTTCTGTAAATAGAGGTCAATGTCCTGGAACCCGAGGCCCGGTGTCTTTAAAGAACCCCAAAGTAACCTTTGAGCTGAGTGAAAGACATCCTTGCATGGATGGCAGGACCCCATGGTCACCTTCATGGATTTTGTGATACTGAGGCTTCATCTCTGTCCGCCATCTCCATCAGATGAAACTTTGAAGTCATGCTTTTCTCAGGTCAATGCATGGGTGAATGGAAACATCTTTGAGAACATTCAGATTGTAGGGACAGACAGGAAGCCAACATTTGTCTCGTGGCAAAATTTAAAACTGGCCAAACAGAAAAACAAATATTGTATATTAACACATATATATGGAATCTAGAAAAATGGTATAGATGACCCTATTTGCAAAGCAGAAATAGAGACACAGTCATAGAGAACAAATGACCTAGATGGGAAGGCAATCCAAAAAAGAGAGAATATATGTACATGCATAGTGGATTCACTTTGTTGTACAGCAGAAACTAACACACCTATACTCCAATTAAAAAAAAAATTGGCCAAGAGGCAGCAGAAGGCCAGTTCCAGAAAGCCTGGGGCTTAAGTTTTGGCTGTTCATTGTTCTCTGGACAAAGATCAAAGGCAGATTCTGTTTTAATTAATGACCCATGTTCTCTTGATCCTTGGGGAAGTTTTACTGGCTTGAGATGGATGTGAATGTACACGTACATATGTATGAGTTGTGTTTAAGCGTGGGGGCCATCTCTGTTACATGTCACTCAACTTCCAAAACACTCCTGTGCTCAGAGCTTTCTCATAGGCCCCCAGGCCAGAATCATGCTGGCAGCATGCAACTGGAAGCAAAAAGTAAGTGAGAGGCTAGCACACATTGAGACCAGGGCTCACAGGTGCATCTGAACAGGATCATTATGGATCCAGAGAGAGTCTTAGAGTTCAAGTTGATAGCCTTAGATTCAGATTCAATCCCTGCAACTAAGTGGTGAACATGGGCAAAGCTTTCAACCCCTTTGAACCTCATTTCTATAGCTATAAAATAAGCAGAATTAACCACCAGATTGTAGGTAGGCTAAAATGAGGCAATATGAAGATGTTCTGTGAAATTCCTGGTACAAAGTTCACGCTTAATAAATGTTAAGTGGAAACAGAATCTTGTTCTTGATCTTTGTGGTTCAAAACATAATGAGCTCACTGAAAGAGGTGTTTAGCTGCTGGTAAAGCAATTAACAAAATCTAAACTTTAAAGAAACCATCTTATAAACTATATGCAGTTTATTGATTGCCCAAAGGCGAATTGGCTGGCTGAATAACTAGTCACAGGGAAGACACTCTTGGGGCCAGTAAAGAAACGGTGGTCAAGTCAAGGAATATTTAGTAAGTAGCTATCACATGCCTGGCATGAGTTAGTGTTGGGGATATAGTAATATAGAAAAAGGTCCATGCTCCATCAAATAAGTCCTGGTTGCCCATTATATATAAAGCACTTTATTAGAAATGGGGGTTGTGCTTGGCAGTTAAATAGGTTTTCCCTATCCTCATGTCAAGAGAAACAAAATGAATATACATATGCAGCGAAAAGGTTTATGTGAAGAACAGATAATGTCAGCAAAACAGACATATATAAATATATATATCCATTTCTGTCTATCTATTCTCAGTTCAGTTCAGTTGCTCAGTTGTGTCCAACTCTTTGAGACACCACGGACTGCAGCACATCGGGCTTCCCTGTCCATTACCAACTCCTAGAGCTTGCTCAAACTCATTACCATTGAGTCGGTGATGCCATCCAACCATATCACCTCTCCTCCTGCCTTCAATCTTTCCCAGCATGAGGGTATTTTCCAATGAGTCAGTTCTTTGCATCTATCATTTTAGTTGTTGATTAATCCGACAAAACGAAAGGGTTGGAGGATTATAACTAGGTCTCAAACAAAATGATTATGTCTTCTTTCAAAGAACTTGGAATGCATATATGAATGTATCCTCTTGTACTGTCAAAGAAGCAAGGCAATGGCATTTCCAGGCTATGACTTGATCTTTAGGTATATATCTAAATATTATCACTTCATATTCTCAAATAGGAAAAAAAATTTTCATTTAAATGAAATATATACAACTTTTTTTCATTTCTAATGTGAAAAAGAAAATCAGTTTATCATAAAAGATGGGAATAAAGTTAACGAAAAATTATTTGGGGAAAGAAAAGGAAAAGGGTTCAAACTCTTAATGAAGGTCTTCCTAGTGGTGTTAGTGGTAAAGAAACCATCTGCCAATGCAGGAGACATAAGACACGCAGGTTCAATCCCTGGGTTGGGAAGATCCCCTGGAGGAGGAAATGGCAAACCACTCTAGTATTCTTGCCTGGAGAAACCCCATGGACAGAGGAACCTGGCAGACTACAGTCCATAGAATCGCAAAGAGTTGGGCATGACTGAAGCGATTTAGCAGGAACTTTTAATGAAGATGTAACCACAAAAAAATGTAACTATAACCCAGGTGGAATATGGGCAACATAAGAAATCAGAGGCAGCACAGAGGAGAGTGGGAACTTCAGGGAGGTCAGGGGAGGCTGGCAGAGAAGGCATCACCTATGGAGTTTTGAGAGGGTGGAGCTTACTAGGCAGGCAAGAGGAAGAAGTGGGCATTGTACCCAGAGGAACTAGATGGTATAAGTAGGTCACGGTTGCCCGAGTGTGAAGAGGAAGGCTGAAGAAATTCTGAAGGTGGAGAGGGAGNATGAGACAAGTGCTCAGGGCTGGTGCACTGGGAAGACCCAGAGGGATGGGATGGGGAGGGAGGCGGGAGGGGGGATCGGGATGCGGAACACATGTAAATCCATGGCTGATTCATGTCAATGTATGGCAAAAACCACTACAATATTGTAAAGTAATTCGCCTCCAACTAATAAAAATAAATGAAAAAAAAAAAACACACTCATACTAACAGTGGGAAGGGGGAGGGGAAATATCAGGATGGGGCAGGAGGTACAAACTTTCAGGTGTAAGATAGACTCAAGGATGTATTGTATAATGGGGAAAGATAGCCAGTATTCTGTAATAATTGAAAATGTTAAGTAAAATTTTTAAAAAGCTCACTTATAAAAATTAAATGCTTATATTGGAAAATTTAAAAATATTAAAAAATAAAAAAAAGAATTAGAATTTCACTTCCCAGTCACCATGCAAGAAAGCCCTGAATGTTGTTCACTCTTTGGTAGCAGTAGCACTAAGTGTATTAATGGACCCTGCAATAAGATGCTTCCTTAACTCTTTTTTTTTTTAACCCAGCATGGAATCCACCCCTACAGTTTTTTTCTACATGATATCTATTAATTTCCTTAGAACTAGTGTTCTGGGGCAAGAGAGACCCACTGGCAAATCCTTGCTTAATGAGTTTCATCCATCTTAGACTGCTGAGCTCTAGTTTCAAAGGGTGCTGTTTCTGGCCCCATCTAGCAATCCAGGGGTTGCCATTTCTCAGAACTAATGGGAGAGATGGTCACAGGGCCTGAGGTGACACAGTGAGCTGTCAGAGGCAGGTGCAATGAGAACCCTGCTTATCAGGCTTCAGCCACATTTTGATCTGCCCATATCCTCACATATCTGATGTCTCTGAAACCTGAATGTGTCACTTTTGCCTTTTCATAATCTCTAAGGTGAGCCTGAGGGTTGAGGAATTCTTGATTCATCCACCCAGTTGACCCTTCACTGGAGGATAAGAAAAGGTCATTTACTTGTTCCTTTACCTGGACCCAGGTTCAATCCCTGGATTGGGAAGATTCCCCTGGAGAAGGAAATGGCAACCCACTCCAGTATTCTTGCCTGGAAAATCCCATGGATGGAGGAGCCTGGCAGGCTATAGTCCATGGGGTCACAAAGAGTCAGACACGATTGAGTGACTTCACTTTACCTGTTCCTGCCTAGGGGTGGCCAGCACCTAACTCTGGGTAGAAATGGCTTGGTATCAGATGGCTAAGTGTCTCAGCTTCTTAGAAGGTTTCCAGGAAAAGGGAGACTTCAAAGTCTCCCTTTGAAAGCTAATTCTATGTAAGTTTCTTCTGCTTCAATTTAAAACTTTTTTAAAACTCAGTGACCAGAACTTATAAACTAATTTTTGTGTTCATGGGGTGTGGGGGGTGGGGACCACTGGCTAAAATCATGGGGCAGAAGGAGAAATCTCATGAAATAATGGAAAGCACAATCCTGAGTTTCTTGAATGGCCTGATGATCACCCTGTCACACTGATGTCCTCCCCTCTCCAGAGAGAATGGACTATAGAATCTCCTCTTAGATAGCAAAGAGAGCCCACCCCTTGCCCCCCAGGATACCCCAGGCTCCTTTATCTGTTTATCTGTGGCTGGCGCCACCTCCAGCACTCACCAGTGTCCCCAGAGCCTTGTTCCCTGTGGGGTAAACACCTTGGCTGTTATTATGTTCTGTGATTGGTTCAGTGGAGGCTGTGTCAGTCATCTACCCCCAGGCACTCTCTGGCTGGCCCATTAGTCCCAAGGGAAGCTGAGGCTCCACTGAAGAATAGAAGACACAACACAAGCTTCATCCTGACCTCCAGCCTGTTTCACATTTGTCCTGAATGTCCTGATGCCAAGGCCTTGGCTGAACCCCAGGGGAGTAGGGAGGGAAGGACCTTAATCCAGAGGCACCTGTCAATCTGATGGAAGAATGGGATAGAGTTCTAGGACTCAGACAGACTGAGCTATAAGAATGATGAAACAGAACCCCCTGGATGCCAGAGGAGCAGGAGGGAGCTGCTTCTCAGGGAAGAGAAGAATTGAAGGCAACTCAACTTGGAAAAAAGGAAGCTGAGTTAGATCAAAGAAAGATGCTCCTGAGCTTACATGGAATCAGGTTCTAGAACTGAGTCTTAATTTCAGACTGGGGGAGGCCTTTCCTGACCTGAGAGTCCATCATATGTTGATCCAGAATCAGAGATGTCAGGGCAGCAAATGTCCTGACCAAACTTTCCTTGATTGGAGGAATGATCCTCTTCTACTATTAAAAACAAGACATAAAACTCAAACAAACAAACCAAAAACAAAACTAATCAAAACCCTCCAAACTAAACCAGACAACAGTGAAACAACCCTCAAACCTCAGGAAAGGCCGTCTTCCTAAAGTTCTCCCGCACCATCTCCCCAGGCCGCCTTCTTCTCTCCATCCTAGATAACGTCTCCTCAACTCTTGTTCCAGAAACGCTTTTCCGGAGAAAGCTTTTAGCTCTGGCCCAAAACCATCTGCCAGCACTTGTGACCAGAGCTCTCACTAGCCTTATTTGTCACCATGTCTGGTCTCCCAGATTGAGAAGTCCCTGCAGATGGACCAGAAGTTTCCTTGGAACTTCCTTCCAGGACAGGCCAGGGTCAATTTCATCTAGAGGCCTGGACAGACAGCAGGTGACAGACTAAGCAGGACTCTGGAATATTCTTGACCTTGTTCATGTCCTTCTGAAGCAGAACCAGCCTGGACATCTGTTACCCTGTTACCCTGGCCCCTCCTCTACCCAAAGAGGCCAGACCCACTGAGAACTTCCACTGGAGATCTGGGCAGGGATAACCCCAGTGATTGCAGGGCAGTGAGGAGAGATAAGGCAGCCAAATTACTATAATGCAGGAGGTAAGCAGAGCAAATGCAGGGTTTGGGACCATTTTATAGGGAATTCATGGGGAATTGAGGCTGGAAGAGACAAAAATCTCAGAGGGGAGATGGTAATTTCATAAACGGAGAACCAAGAGGCCCTAGGTGGCCTGAAAGATATTCACGAACTACATATTAGGTTGACTCCAGCCGGCCCAGCCCTCTGACTATTTAAGGACTGAGCAGGGACAGAAAGCCCAGCTGCTCTGCGCCCCTCGCCAGTCCACCCAGCAACCGGTGACCTCCACCTCCCAGTCATGAGCCGCCAGTTGAACCTCTACCCCGGTGGAGAGCGCCTGGCCTTCAGCGGCTGCTCTGCCATCATCTCCAGCCGGGTCAGCAGCAGCACCGCCTCATTCCGGGCCAGCGGCGTCAAGGGCACGGCCACCTTCGGCAGCAGGAGCCTCTTCAACTGCGGGGGCGGCCGGCGCCTGGCCCTGAGCTCCTCGGCCGGGCGGGGCAGCTCTGTGCTGGGTCCCTGCGCAGCCACGGGTGGTGGCCGCCGGGGAGGCTTCGTGGGCACCGTCTTCGGCAGTGCGGGGCTAGGGCCCGCGTGTCTGTCCGTGTGCCCGCCGGGCGGCATCCCTCAGGTCACCGTCAACAAAAGCCTCCTGTCCCCCCTCAACGTGGAGCTGGACCCAGAGATCCAGAAAGTGCGCGCCCAGGAGCGGGAGCAGATCAAGGCTCTGAACAACAAGTTCGCCTCCTTCATTGACAAGGTTGGTGCTGGAGCGTCTACCCGTCCCTGCCTTGGTGCCCAGTGTACATGCGGGTCTCACTCTGCCTCTGCCACTGGCGTGGGAACTTGGGCAAGTTAGTTATGCTCTCTGAACTTCCCTTGCCTCTTGTGTAAAATGGGCACAAGAGTAGCTCTAACCCCATAAGTTTATAATGAGGATGAATTGGATGTTTCTAAGGTGCTTAAAACAGTGCCTGGCACACCTTCACCCCTCCCCTCCCCCTTAAAGAGGAGCTTCATTCCTTTCTTGCTGGAAGAGACTCAGGAAAGGTGTCAGTGGCTGGAGATGCGTAATGGGCCCCCTGAGGGCTCTCACTACCAGAGAGATGGGTTTGCAGTTCCAGGACAGGGGGTGTCCCAGGATGGGATACCTGGTGGGTGAGAAAGACCTGGACGGTAGGAAGTGGGATAAGGATGTAAACCAGCAAGGTTTTTAGAGGAGGTGAGAGGAAAGGGCTAGAACAGTGAAGGTGCTGAGGGGAGAAAATTTGGAAGGAGGGCTTGTCAAATTATGTGTGTGTATGTCCAGAAATTGGGGCAACAGAGAAGATGACTCTGGAGTCATAGGCAGTGACCCTGCTGAAGGGGAGGAGACAAAGAATGGGCTTCTCTTGTCTCCACCTGGAAAGATCTAGACCATGAAGGATATGATACTAATAATAGCTGACACTCCTCAGTGCCTGGTGCTGACCCAAGTGGTTCTCATTTATCAACCCATGATTCAGTGATCACTCTTATCTTGCAGAAGCTCAAATTAAGATAGAGAGAAGCTAAGAAATGTGCCAGGATAATAGAAAAGGCAGCAACAGTAGCCTGTATCCCTCACTACTGTACTTGGGAAGAGGAAATGAAGTAGTTGGAGGACAGAGGGCAGGAGTGGAAGAAATAACTAAAGAGATTGGTAAGAAGAGGAATGTTGGTGTAGCAGAGGCCTGACGTTGTTCACTACAAAAATGAAAAACCTTCCGTCAATATGAATAGATTTGTAAAGATGTGATTGTTGTTGTCCAGTTGCTCAGTCATGTCTGACTCTTTGTGACTCCATGGACTGCAGCACACCAGGCTTTCCTGTACTTCACTATCTCCCAGAGTTTGCTCAAACCGACTCCATTGAGTTGGTGATGCTATCTAACCATCTCATCCTCTGTCATCCCCTTCTCCTGTTCTCAATCTTTCCCAGCATCAGGGTCTTTTCCAATAAGCTGGTTCTTTGCAATAGGTGGCCAAAGTATTTGAGCTTCAGCATCAGTTCTTCTAGTGAATATTCAGGGTTGATTTCCTTTAGGATTGACTGATTTGAACTCCTTGCTGTCCAAGGGACTCTCAAGAGTCTTTTTCAACACCACGATTCAAAAGCATTAATTCTTTGGCATTCAGTCTTCTTTATGGTCCAGCTCTCACATCTGTACATGACTACTGGAAGAAGCATAGCTTTGACTATACGTACCTTTGTCGGCAAAGTAATGTCTCTGCTTTTTAATATGTTGTCTAGGTTTGTCATAGCTTTTCTTCCAAAGAGCAAGCATCTTTTAATTTTGTGGCTTCAGTCACTGTCTGCAGTGGTTTTGGAGCCCAAGAAATTAAAATCTGTCATTGTTTCCACTTTCCCCCCATTTATTTGCCATGAAGTGATGGAACCAGATGCCATGATCTTAGTTTTTTGAACGTTGAGTTTAAAGATGTGACAATCTGCTTCCAAAACCAATGAAAGAAACAAACCAGGAGCGATTTAGACGTCATATAAGAAAGAACATGCAAATTACCAGGGTGACTTTCCAGTGCCATTCCCCAGTCACTATTTCTTCCTGCTTCTCATTTCCCTTCACTCCAAAAACACCAGCATTTATAACAAAAAATGCTGCCTTAACCACATGGTAAGTCATGGTGGCAGATGATAGACAGCATTGCTTCCACCCACTTCCTGATTTCATTTAAGACTGGATCCTGTTTCTTGTCTTAGAACAAGGTGGCCGTATCCCTCTGGCTGAATCCACTCTCTGAGGAACTTCGCTCTTTCCTGCAGGATGACACCATCTGATTTCTGGGGCCCTGTCCTCACTCTTGAGAGGCAAGAGCACTTGGGGGAGCGTTTGGGGTCTGTGACCACCTTTGGTTTCCAGGTGAGGTTCCTGGAGCAGCAGAACCAGGTGCTGGGGACCAAGTGGGAACTGCTGCAGCAGCTGGACCTGAACAACTGTAAGAACAACCTGGAGCCCATCCTTGAGGGCTACACTAGCAACCTGCGGAAGCAGCTGGAGACGCTGTCCGGGGACCGGGTGAGGCTGGACTCGGAGCTGAGGAGCATGCGTGATGTGGTGGAGGACTACAAGAAGAGGTGAGTGGAGAGGTGGAGAAACGCCACTGGAAGGTCTTGATTATAGGTGAGGTTGTGATTTGGAGCCAGCAATTTTGTCTTCTTGAGTCCTTTGCTGATATCATTACTACTCTTTCTTGTATGGGAGGGAGAGCGATCTAGACAGGATGAAACATAGGAAGAGAAAAGATCTACCCAAAATGGTGTTCCAAATTGCCCAGGAGATGATGTGCTCATTTTAAACATTGGAAATGGAAGAATGTTGGGGGTGGGGGGTGTGTGGAGAGAACTGTCTCAAAACCAGATGAACAACCCAAATGGCTTTGTAGCTTCTCCTGAGTGAGGTTTTCTATAGGAATTGCCAGGACTCCATAGAAGGAAACATCCTTCCAATCTCAGGACACATCTTAAAGCTAAGCAAAAATGAGTTTTTAAAGGTTTTTTTCTTTTTCATGGTGAGGCATCTCCATGCTGCTGAATCCCACTATTAAAGAGAACAGTTGAGAGTGTGTTTGGACGGGAAATGGTTTCTCCTTCTAAGTTGAACCTGTGAGGAGAGAGAGTGATGCCCCAGCTTGGTGGGATCTGATATTTTGGTGGTTTGCTTCCAGGTGTTAGGATTTTTGGGGATAGATGACTTCTTCCACAAGGTGGTGAAGATGGTCGGAACTGGGCTCTTTTTCTTGGTTCACTTTTGATCTGCCCATCCATCTCTACTGAAGTCCCCCTAAAGTGGAACTCTGGCCCGAGCCCTGTATGGAGCCCCTGAAGGCGGCGGTGACATAGTCCTGGACTTCTGAAAGCACACAGATTGTGGGGACAGGCTTAAAGAACACCCCTAGAGAGCCCCCTCTTTAAATATGTGTACACACTCAAATACAATTTCCAAAATTTTGGTTCATTTAATTTACAGAAAGCATCTATCATCTAGCTTAACTGGAAAGCTAGCTTTCGTTGTCAAACCAGTGAAATAAGAGTTTCTTTCTATCCGAAAAAGTGTGGCTTCATATCTAAATTCAAGTCAAAATATAAAACATGCACTGAGGACTATTTTAAAATCCACTCAGCAATAAACTAAGGGTGACATCTTGTACAGCAGGCTATTGAAAACATTAAAGATTAAAATGATGTAGATTTAACATAATTAATACATCTATATTCTAAAACAACATAAATCCAAGTGTACTTTGTCATGGTTTAACTTTTAATTATGCATTTTAATCTGCTTTTAAAAATTATATATTATTTATTAAGTCCATAGTAATGTAAAATGCAGTTTTTCTTTATAAATGTTGTATGTGTATATTGAACTCTGATATTCAATTTTTAGAAGTAAATGATGAGAAGTTATTTATAATACATGAATGTCATCAATTTTGATAGCCATCATGATCCATCTTTTCCAATGTATTTTATGAAGTAGTAAGATGTAAGGTGCTAAAAGCTAATTGGTCTCCAATTAGCACATACTTTTATTTTTGTTAATAGGATGGATATAATGTGATAACATGTAAGATAATATGAGATAAAATTGTGATGGAAATAACTCTTTCATAGTATAACTTGATAGAAAGGAGTTTTTAATTATCTTTTGAATAACACACATAGAATCTGAGATAAATCATATAAGCTATTTTTCTGTGTTTTACCCAGTGCAACTAGAAAAATCTGGCAGTCTTCAGAAAATGTCCCACTGTTTAAGTACTTTAAATAACCCACTTCACTAACCTGTACTACTTCAGCAATCCAACAAAACTTTATTTTCTTGGCAGCCAGTGACATGACTTAGGAAGTAAAAAGCTGAGAAGAATTGCTCCAGTTAATGTGTATGAAAAATAGCTCCTTTGGGGGCACAAAACATTTCTTTCCAATACTCTATTTTATTTGCTCTCACAAATATCCTGTATTATGTTCTTTAAAGAATCCTTTTATTCTTCTTTTTAAACAAAAGGCCCCATGGATAGGAGGCAAGGCAAGAGGGGAAGAGGGGATGTGAGACCCGAGCCCCACACCCCTTCCCCACCTATCCCTTTTCTGCTTATATATTTATACTCTATCTACAAGTCCCTGGGGCAAGGTGACATGTTCTTTGTTAATAGAAAGGGATGGAGTAGTGAGATCTTTAAGTGAAATGATCAGTGCTCTTGACCCTCCAAGCTACAATACATGTGTAATGAGAATATCTCACCCACATCCAAACACCCTATTTCCAAGACCTTGCTTCACCTGTGTAAGAAACAGGCATAACTTACAGAGAAAGGGAATAGCATTTTTTTGGTGTCTGGGAGCTTTCTTCTCCGGCTAGGGCTCGTATTAAGGTGCCAGCTGGTGGGGAGGGGGGTGACTTTCGGTTGTCACGAGGAAGGTGGGACAGCAGAACGAGCATGATGTCTCCATCACAGATGCATTCCCAAGTAGATACATTTTAGGGTAGCCTGACTATGAGCGAAGGAGCTGCACACTGATGCCTTTAAACCTGTCCTTGTCACATCCCCTTTCAGAAGGCTCTCCGTGCCCCAGGGGAACGTAAAGCCCAGGCTGTGGGCCACTGCCCTGCAGCTTTTGGCACAGAGGTGATTGCTGCCTGCTCAGTGAGCATTCGCAGAATAGAACTGTCCCACTGGTGACACTCCTTTCTCTTGCCCCACGCAGGTACGAGGTGGAGATTAACAGACGCACAGCTGCTGAGAATGAGTTTGTGATGCTCAAGAAGGTATGAGTTGGGTAGGGAGGGCTGGAAGAAGCCTGGGGGCTCCCTAGGGACCCGGCATGCAGATGTTTGCAGGATGAGGAAAGGGCCCTTATGGGTCACTTAGTCTCTAGGACAGAGATGGTTAGGCTTCTATTGTTCCACTCATCTCTTCACGTCCCTTGCCTGGGCAGCGTGCTGCTTCCAGAAGCTATCAGCTTTAGATCCAGGTGCAGCCGTGGCCCTGCACATTGGTTGGTTTGCTCTCAGGGATCGGGCCTCCCTGTGAAGCATGGTGGAAGGGGAGAGAGCAGTGAACCTGGGGCTCCTTGTGGCAGGAGGAGGGGCAGGGGGAGAGGCAGGTCTCTCTCTGTGTTCCCCAGGACGTGGATGCCGCCTACATGAACAAGGTCGAGCTCCAGGCCAAAGTGGACTCCTTGACAGATGAGATCAAGTTCTTGAAGTGCCTCTATGAAGGGGTAAGGACCCTGCTGAGCTCTCTGGTGGTCTGTTCCTCTTGCAAGTGGTTTCTGGCCCTTGGCCTGGATGGTCACATGACCAAGGGTTGGCAGAGAGGCCTTTTGACCTCTGTACTGACCCACATTGTCAGTACAGCTGCCATTTGCTGAGGCCCTACTATGTGCTGAGCAGTGGGGGTAGGCTTTGAGGAGACCGTGATGGAGGAGAAATGATTCCTGTCCTCTAGGAGTCCATAGTCTGGTAGGGAAAACAGCATGTAAATGAGCTTTGGGAGAGCAGCGGAATGGTGAATTCTGCCTGAGGTGTCGGTGAAGGTTCCAGGAGAAAGGTGAGCAAGATTTCCATGGGTGCAGGGAAGGGCTTGGACTCCAGCCTGAAGGAGCAGAATTAGGGGAGACCTGGAGCTGGAGTTGTGCTAAAGTATGAGGGGCCTGGAGAAGTGGAGGTTCATTGGTGACTCTCTAGAGAACCGAGTGTCACATAAGGAGTTCAGACTGATCCATGGTGGCTGTTGATACGGAGAGAGTGGGTAGGGTGGGAGGAGTCCTGCATGTGTGGTGGAGAGGGCAGTCCTATGGGTGGAAAGCTCTATGTTTTCATTTCACACCCACAGGCTTGAGCACTGCAGGCCTCTGCTGAAGGCAGAGCTGATGTGCCGGGGAAGGGCAGGAAGGGGAAGCAGGGGATTTGCTAGAGAGGATCAAGAAAAGGGACCCCCACCTTGGGAAACCTTTAACTGACTCCCCTCCCCTAACTGTCCTCCAGGAGATTGCTCAGATCCAGTCCCACATCAGTGACACATCCGTCATCCTGTCCATGGACAACAACCGCGACCTAGACCTGGACAGCATCATCGCGCAGGTCCGCACCCAGTACGAGGAGATCGCCCTGAAGAGCAAGGCCGAGGCCGAGGCGCTGTACCAGACCAAGGTGAGCTGAGGGCCAGGTGTGCAGCGGCCCAGCGACCACAGCTACCATCCTGTCATCATGTATGCACGTGTGTGCTTGTGTGTGTGTGTGCATGTGTTGGGGCTGGGCAGAGACTTCCTGCTTCTTGGAGTTGGGCCTTGTGGAAATGCCATCCTGTGGTCCAGAGAGATCCTCCACAGTCTTGGCAGGTGTTGGGGGCCGTGCATGGGCTAAGCCCTTCCCCAGCCAAGGCCCTTGCTGACAACTGAGGCCACATCAGTCACTGCTTCAGTAAGATTCTGACGCCATTTCTGTGGACAATCCACAGTCTCAGCTTTTCTTCTATTTCCAATTTTGTCAAAACGAGGACAGGAAATTCAGACTCCATTAGGGCTATCATGTTTGAGAATCCAAGGATCCTGTTGAAGTGGGGCTGGGCCTTCCTATCCAGAAGGAAAGGGTTGTCTTTCTCCCTCTCCCTCTCCCCCTCCCCTCCTCCTCTTATGCCTGTGCTGCGTAGATAACGAGAACGGTGCCCCGTCACTCTCCCTCTCCTTCAGCACCCTACGGACTGAATTCCCAACTGTCCTGTGCTCCTCGTCTCTTGTCCCCCAATCTCAGATTCAGGAGCTGCAAGCCACAGCGGGCCAGCATGGGGATGACCTCAAACTCACAAAGGCTGAGATCTCAGACCTCAACCGGATGATCCAGAGGATCCGCTCAGAGATTGGGAACGTGAAGAAGCAGGTGGGTTCTATGAAAGGAGTCAGCTGACAGCACTCATTGGTTTGAGACCAATTATTGTTTTGTACAGTCAGTATGAGAACAGTTGTACCAGCCTATACAAATGAGAAGAGCATCCTGCCCTTCCCAGCACTGTGAGGATCTTGCACCAATCTGTATGAGGCTCATTACTAAAAAGGGTAAAACAAGATCTCTAAGGAGAGAACAGTAGGAATCCATATGGAAGGATGTAGCATTCTTTGTTGGGCATCACACTCCCTAAGTGCTGTAGGGCTTCCAAGGGGCTCTGGATGAGTGGGGACCCGAGTGAGGCTTCCTGTAGGAGGTGGATTACCTTGGGATGGAAGGCAGAAAGAGGGAAGGGGGTCTGGTGAAGGAACCCACAGGAGCAGTGGATGTGAGGTGGGCATGTGTGCCAGAAGGAAAGATGCCCACCCTGAGCAGAAGGTCCATGATGGGTGGGTGGCAGGGAGCAGGATACCTCTAGGTGGGAATGGGTGGATTATGGGTAGTATTCAAAGAGGGTGGTGGACCTTAGACCCAGTGTAATTGGTGAAAGGGTTTGGAAATTTCCCATGATGAATCTGTGCCGGAGGAAGGAGAGCCAGCAGTGGATTTTAGAAGAGAGTGGAGAAGGAAGATTGCCACCCCACCCCAACCCCCACCACACACATCCCCAACACTAGTCTTGGCTCAGGTCTCTGCTGAGTGTTTGCCCTTTCCTGTGGCTGTCTGTGGGAGGCACTACACTGAACTCAGCCCATAGGAACACAATATGGGCCACGCTTGTGATTCCAAAGCAAGCAAACTCATGAATCTCCCAAAGTTTGTGGAGTTTGGTGCAAGGATTTAAGGTCTCAGCTTCCTGGGCAAGTCAAGTTCCCTATCTCCTCCCCTTCTCTGCCCCGCATGTGCACGTGCATACACACACACAGCCCTCCTCCAACAGCGGAAAGAAAAAAGACAGACTAAGAACCTATGGTGTTTTTATTTAATCAAGTTCTGCATAAATGAAAGAAAAACACAAGGTGTTTGAAGCTACCTTTGGTACCCAGTTACTCTATTTATCTGATAAAATGCTCTGTGTACATGTTTAGGCAAACTTATCACCAGAAAATGACATTTGTGATGAAAAGGCCACCGTGCTTTGGAGGTCAGGGGAGATATCCTCCTTGGGGAGCCAGTGGGGGTGACTGCTGATACTTGGTCCCCAAGGCAGCTCCTCTTGAGGGCTCTCACCCAAGGTGCTTTCCTGCCTTTTGACCTCTCCACCAAAGAAGCCCACAGTTAAACATGCAGACTCTGCATCCAGTGGCTCCAGAATCCAGCTGCTAATTGTTTCAGAGGAACCAACATTTCAGGTCTTCCTTTCAACTCATGCCACATTCACAAGACCCAAGCTTCTGGAGTCCCCCAAGTTCACCTGCAGGATCTTGGTCAGTGACAAAGAATAGAAGACAGTTTGGTGGAATTCGAGTTGTAGAGTTTATTGCATCCTCCTAAATAATTAGGTCTTCACAGTCCTGAGAATGGCAATGCTTTTCCCTGGTTCGATAGCTGGGTCCTAGGTTTTTCTGCTGAGGCTGTGAACACTCACCCGAAACACTGTAGATGCTTGTATGGCTGGGGGCCTGCCTGGTTGAGGAGGGTAGCATCAGCTGGACAGCAGTGAAAAATTCCATTTGGCTTTAGGACCAGCTGCTCTCCTTGGGGTGAAGCAACTTTGACTCCAGAAAAAGGGGACAGATCCTAGGATCCCACCAAAGCCTAACCCAGTGACTGGCAAACACACTCATGACTGAAAGGCCCAAGACACCCTCTCTATCTGCCCAGCTTCCCCTGGATGCAGCACTGAGCCCCACCTGCTGTTTACTTCTGCAAGTAACACCTAAAAGTGAAGTTTGTAAACTAGTAAAACCTGTTAGTTATGCAAAAGTATTATTGAAGGCTGTTGCCTTGTAGCATGAGTCTCTGTGCAATTTGGGAGGCCGGATCCTCCATGGGGTAGGTTTATTGGATAGACATTTTATTAATAGGAAATTTATTGGTCCCTATTTTTTTCACTATTTACAGTATCTTCCAAGATATCTTTTACACTATGGGGCAGAATTAAGGCCAGTGACCCAGAGACTTTTTAGGGTTAGTAGACTTTTTAGGGTTGGCAGAACAGCTGATGTTACAGACTAGTAGGGAGACTATGGAGCCATGTGCCCAGGTGGCCACCTTCTCAATCAATACCTTTCCCCTCCTCTCTCCCAAGGTAAGGACACTCCACCTTTATATGCCATGGCATGAGCTGGGCTGAACTGTGCCTGGAGTTGGGGGGAAGGACAGATCCTAGACATCACCTCTAGTGATGTTCAGAAAATGGGAAAACCAGAAGGACCTCAAAGCATTTACCATCAGTCAGGATCAAAAGAAGGGCGATTTTCTGAGCAGGATCTCAGAGCTATGCTCTGACCCAAAGCACTGAATCCATTTGCCCCTCAGTGCTCCAGCCTGGAGATGGCTATCGCCGATGCTGAGCAGCGGGGCGACTGTGCCCTGAAGGACGCCCGGGCCAAGCTGGATGAGCTGGAGGCCGCCCTGCTCCAGGCCAAGGAGGAGCTGGCCAGGATGATGCGTGAGTACCAGGAGCTGATGAGCACCAAGCTGGCTCTGGACATCGAGATCGCCACCTACCGCAAGCTGCTGGAGGGCGAGGAGTGCAGGTGAGGGGGGGATGTCTTTCGTTTGAAGCATTATCTCTGTGCTTTAGTAGGAAGGTTGAGGGCAAACAGTTTGGTTTTGTTCAGGTGAACAAAACCTACTGAGGTGAAACTCTGTAAAGAATGGTTTTGACATGGTGTGGTAGGAAAGACCAGAGTTAGACAGCAAGAAGGACAGGATTGTAAACAACCCAAAGAGGTGGTAGGGGAAGAATTGAAGAAATTGAGAAATAGAGCATCCCTGGCCCTTCATGACTCATTCTTGAGGCGAGTGGGAGGGGCAAGATGGTCTCTAAGAGTCACCTAGGTTCAAGGTTGCTCTGGCAAAGCCTGAGGCCCAGAGAGGATGTGAGCTCACTCCTTTTAATTGTCTAAGACCAAAGGCATAACTAGTCGGAAGCAGGGGCACAATTATCCCACACATCAGATAATCCCAAAGCCACTTTGATGGAGAGGCTGACTCCCTGCAGCAGACTTTTCGTCTTAGTTCTCTGTTTCTTGAGAGGTCCCACTCGGGTGTTTGGGAAGAAAGAAGGCTGGGCTGGAGTGGAAGGCATGTCTGAGAGGGGAGGCTGATTCACTGAGGGATCTCCCTGGATCGAAGAGGTTTAGGGAGGTTTATCTGATTTTCTTCTCCCTCTGCAGGATGTCTGGTGAATATCCAAATTCCGTGAGCATCTGTAAGTATCTGCAGTACCTAGTTCTACCCTTAGTCACCTACCAGAAGTCAAAGTCCCTCTATTTTCATGACACCAAAGAAAATATAGAATAACAATAATAGAGTGGGTTAAGGGGAGACTCAGGGGCACAAAGAGGGAGCTGGATTTAGTAACCAAGGAGAAAAACAGTATTGTGAAATACTATTTTAATACAGGTTATACAAAAGTATAACCCATAGAGAGATCAAATGATATCCAACAGTATATAGTCCCAAAGTCTACTTTAAGAATGATACTTAATGACTGCATTCCATTTCTTTGAGGTCAGTCCATAAAAGAGGTACTGGATTGAAGTAAGAAGGAACGAGAGGAGCCTGACTGGCTGAATGATGAAAAAAGCAGAAATAACCTCCTGCAGATTTAAAAGCTAGAGAGAGCACAGTGTTCTATTGTAGGGTACTCCCAGCAGCCCCTTTCTTTAGCAGAAGCATCAGAAGGCCTCTGTGAAGTGCCTTTCTTCATCTGGTCCTATCCAGATGGAAATTCACTGCTAAAGTCTGCTAGTGCTTACAGTCTGACATTGATAGATCAACATAGACTAATTAGGAAAAGGTCAAATACATGGGGTCAAGTACATGAAAAATGACCAGTGCTGATGAAAATCTCTTAGTAAACTAAAAATAGACAATGGAGAAGCCATCCCAGGGGAGATAACTAAGGGAATGATCAGGATGTCCCAGGAAGCTGAATGAACTGGGTCTTTTCTTGCCGATTGCAGCCGTCATCAGCAACACCAGCGCTGGAGCAGGAGGCACTGGCTTCAGCGTGGGCTTTGGTGCCTCGAGCAGTTACAGCTATAAATCCTCAGCGGTGGATGTCAAAACCAAAGGCAGCTGTGGAGGCAGCGAGCTCAAGGATGCTTCTGCCAAAACCTCAGGCAGTAGCTGTGCAACCAAAAAGGCCTCGAGATGAAGGGCAGATGAAGGCTGGCTCACGAGCAGAAAGCTGCAAACCTCACCCATCTCGCCACGTCCTCATCTCCTCTTCTGGGTCCCCTTCCCAAGTCAGGAAGTGCTTCCTCTGTAACCACAGCCTTGATCCCATCCCTGCTCCTGATTCTGAGTGGGGTGATGCTCTGATGCAGGGCATCCAGCCACAAGCTCTCTTGGTGACCTCCTCCTTGGGCACCTTTCTCTGGGTCACTGCCCTGTATGCAGAGATTACACACATCCCCAGGATGCTTCTCTGTGACCAGGGGCAAGCCCCTCTGTCCTTGTACCTTTCTGGGTCTTCACAGTCAAGGGGCTCTCTGACTGGGGCCATGCCCAGTTCTCTGCTTCTCTGCAATAAATGGTCAATGCCATCTCATTCTCAGTGTTGACTCTATTGCCCGGCATACTGACATCTGAGTTGCCCCATCCAACTCTTCTTGGTCCAGCTCCTGCTTCCCTCTGGGTCCCTGGTCTGATACGGATCTTTGCCGTCTGGTCCTGGCCAGGCAGGCATTGGTTGAGAACTGCTCCTTGTAAACAACAGAGATTTGTTACAAATTTGCCTCTAGGCAGGCTTGGGTCTTCCTGGGCACCTGGGCACTTACTCCAGGTAGGCCACACAATGGCCCTGTGAGATGGGAACAGTTGCCCCCTGTACAAAGAGGCTCAGGCTGCTGTGATCAAGGAGCTGAGTCACCCCAGGACTCTCAGGTGTCTGAGTTTCAGCGCAGCTTCCTGCTCCGCCTCTCAAAACCTCCGACAGTGTCCCTACAACTGTCTCTTGTTGTCAGAGAGTCATTCCTTCTTCTTCCTTTCCTCCTTAGTCTCTTGCCAACCCACCTCCTATCTTGCTCTCCCACACCAGCCTTGCTTTCCTCTTCTTCCAGCTGATTCTTTTCCATCCTCAAGTTTGAGGCCAGCATGCCCACCTGCCTGTGTATGCCTCTCTGTCTGCTGTATCCATGTAGCAGTGGCTCACGAGCTTTGGTGAATCTGGCATCGTCAGGCGCAGGGAATACAGGAGTCAGCAAACCGGCACATAAGAGCCTGTCCTAGGGGAGCTCACAGTCTGGGGGGGAGAGTAAAAATAGCGATTAACAACAAAACAGAGGATATGGCAAGCAGTGATGATTTCTGTGAAGAAAAATTACACAGAGTAAGAAGAGTGTTCTTTGACGCACGTGTATGTTTCTGTAAGAATGTTTGTTTTCTCAGAAGTAGTTGACACAGTCGCCTTGAACGAGGTGCTGAAGAGCAGAGTCCTCCAGGGCAAGGCCACCTTCCCACAATGAGCCTCGTTTGAGGGTGAACTTCAGGGTGCCTGTGACCCCTTCTCCCTCTCATCATTCCCCAGCCTCATACTCCAGTCTTTCTTCTGGAGGCCAGGACTTTTCACACCTCAGGACCTTAGCAAATATAACTTCCAATCTCATGTGCCCATGGCCCATTTCCTGAAAGCCTGCTCATCCTTGGTGGTCCAGCTGAATTGCCACCTCCTATGGCCATGTGTTTTCTGGTCCCTCCATGTGGACTCCATCAAGTCATAAAAGCATAAATGAGAAGGAACCTGAGAGCTTGTGGCCAAGAACTCCCCGAATCCCCCCACTATTATAGGCCAGCAAACAGGCCCAGATGGCTAGGCGCTCTGCCCACGTTCACAGCCCTGATGAGCAGCAGAGTGGGGACCGGGGCCCTGCACATCCACAGCACTGTTCCCGAACCCATATTACAGTTGAGGCTCTATTTTCCAGAGCTCCGTGTTCTGTTCTGGGGCCCTCAGTCTGGCTTATGGTCAGCACTCTGTAATGTTTGTCATAGGTATACATGGCTCCATCTCACCCACCTTCACTGGGGAGAAAGAGCTCATGTAACACACATGTGTCCTGATGATTTGGCATGCAAGTGATGAAACACAACTGTGTTAAGAGATTTGTGTCTTACATTTGTCCATGTGTATGCTATTTATAGAATTTATCAACCAAATTGAGACACTTTTATTCTGGACATAATCTAAACTGGATCTGCAGACAGCAGGCGTAAGCCAGGACTGTATCAGGCACATGCTATCTTATGTCTGGCGTCCTGGCTGAGCGTCATGTGTTTTGACTTCAAATCCTGGCTCTTCTAATGGCTGGTTGTGACTGGGTACAAGATCCTGCCCTTGTAAAATGGGGTTGATACAAGCTGGCCTTTGATGAGTGCTTTCTATATGCCAGGTACTACTCTCAGCACAACGGCAACAATGAATTCTCCCAACAATCCAACAGGTATGGTTGTTATAATGTGGATCTCACTCATGATATGCTGAGGCTCAAAGGGGTAAAATAATCCACCCAATGCCACACAGTAAATGGCAGAGTTGGGGGTCCAGCTCTCAGAGTCCAGTCCATGTTTTCCATGCACAATGCCTCCATACCTGCCAAAGTCCTCACTGTGGAGGAGAGTTGAGCATATGAAAAGGGATAATGCGAGTAATACAACATCTGGAGTACAGTTTGCAGCCAATAGATGTTAGGTGTTACTATAATAATCACTGTTAATGCGTGTTTACAGGGCCTTTGTGTTTACCAGCTGTGCCCTGGTCCATGAGCAGTCAATCCAGAGCAGCACTGTGCCCAGAGATCTGACTCAGGTGGGCTAAGTGCAGGGCCAGGGCAAACACTGGGTCTATTCATTGACACATGGTCCCATTCACTCACCAACTGCTCGTTTCCAAGCAGGAAGAGTAACTCCTTGGGGCTGGTATTTTGTGCCTACACTGCCCTCTGCCATCAGCTCCAGGTACTGCACCTTCCAACCCTGTGGCTCTGCGGGGAAGACTCAAAAGAGGGTGTGAGATAACCTTGGTCAGGCTCTGTGCCCACCATGGAGCTGCCAGCTGGAGGAGATGCTGTTTCTCTCCCTGGCATGCCCAGGCAGGCCCCTGTCTCCGTGTTGCCCAGGTCCTGGCTTCTGTCTCCCCTCTTTCTTTCCCATCCCTCCTTTCACACGACTGAGGGGGTGGGTAGGGGCTGTGGTAGTGCTGACATTGCCACAGCCTGAACCTCTTTACATCTAGTCAGAGAATTCGGGACTTTCCGACAGCTCTTCCTCGATGGGTTGATCCAGGAGTCCTGGGAGGGAAAGCTCCCGTCCCTCAGCAGTACTGTGCCCTCGCCTCATCTGTGCTGTCTGCAGGCTCCCATCTCGGCTGCAAGGGGAACCCTCTGAGACCCCTCACTCTCTAACGCAAAGGGGCTTGGAGGATGATCTGGGCTTGGAGGCATGGTGAGTCACAGCCAAGGGGCTACAGAGGAAGGAAGGGATCAGAGCTGAACACAGTCTGGGAAGGCTTCCTGGAGGAGGTGAAGGGGACATGACTTGCTGGAGGCTGGGAGTGTCTTACAGACTTTTTAAGTCACCGTCGGCAGCTGCTCTGAAGTTGAGCTGCCCTTTGCCAGCTGCCTCCTGTTTCCCTTCCAGGGCTGCTACCACTCCTGTTTGTAGGACAAGCCCCCTGCCTAAGGCACCATCCCTCAGCCCTTACACTCACGTTTAGCAAGTGCTGCACAGGCCAGCAGAGATGCGGAGGGTCTCCTCTCCTGCAGACCAGTTTCTACCACCCTGCCTCTCCCTCCTCACTTGGTGCACATCCACATCACACCACCATGTAGATTCGGTCCTCTCAGAAGTTCATCACTGGAATCCCTCTTTCTTACTTCCAACCCATCCATCCTCTGTCTCAGGGATTCCAGATCCTTCTGGCTAAGACTCCAGGTGCAGCCCCAAGTTCTAGATTAAAGCTACTCCCAGCTCACTGGACCCAAAAGAATCACAGCTTGGTGGCTCCAGGCTGGAGAGGGATCACCCAGTCTGTGAGGACACACACTGGCAGTTGGCCAGTCGAGAGTTTGTTTCTTTTGCCACTCATCATTACGACTTGGGCAGCTTAGTCTCCCTGCTCCTGTTTCCTCATGTGCAAAATGCTCAGTCGCTCAGTCATGTCCATCTTTTTGTGACCCCATGGACTTGTAGACCACCAGGCTTCTCTGTCCATGGGATTTTTCAGGCAAGAATACTGGAGTGGGTCACCATTTCCTCCTCTAGAGGATTGTCTTGACCCAGGGATCAAAACTGCATCTCCTGAATCTCCTGCATTGCAAGGCAGATTCTTTACCACTGAGCCATCAGGAAGGCCCCTCCTCATGTGTAAAGTGAAAATAATAAGAATATTTACTTACTAGGATTGGTGTGAAGATGAAATGAATTGAAATGTACTCAGCAAGTCCTCAGCCAATGACCCCTCCATGTCTACACCCCAGGCATGACTGTCAGAGTAGCTTCCAGCTCGATTCCAATCCCAGGCTGACAGCTCTTCCCTCGCTCTCCTTTGCTCTCCCAGCCCACATTCATTTCCAGAAGGTTCTCTCCTATGGCTGCTGGTCCCTCTCAGCCCTCTCCTTGGCTCTCTGTTATGATGTGCAGATGTTCCCTTCCCCTTAAGAGGGAGCCAGTGTGCCCAGCCTTCCATGTTCCCTGGCCCATGTTGCAGACTACTCACGTCCTAGTCTCACTGTTACGTCCAGATGTAATATCCCACTTGCTTCAATGTGGGGGGGCCCATGACCCTGGGGAGAGGGGGCTTGGTCTCGAGGCCTCCTTCTCCATGAGGGCAAGTGGACACAACTCTCTGATGGGACTCAGCTGTGGTCTCAGCTCTGGATGGAGGAGCTCACAGGCTGACTGCAGCCTCAACCCAGCCTGCCTGAGCCTCTAAGTCCCCGGCAGGCTTGCGTTCTGGCGGGTGGAGCTTAGGCCCCTTCTCCCAGCAGTGAGGGGGTTCCCTGTAGCCAGCAGGTAACTCATTCCTTCCACCCAGGCTGATCTTCACTGCGAGGCTAGGGGGTCTCTCCAGCTATAAACGCTTTAGGAGTCAGAGTAGGCAGAGAGAGAGAATCAAGAATGAGGAGTCTGTCACGGATCCATGGGGGGCTCAGGCCATGCCCCTGCCTCCATCCTCCCCCACCCCCTCATCTTCCTCCCTCTTTAGGCTTTGGCTCCTCCCCTCAGGACCAACTCCTCTCTCCCCACCTCCCAGGGAGCTAGACAAGCTTCCTTTTCTGAAAACACGCACTTCTTATTTCTTATACTTCTTTCTGGACATCCTACTTTCCGATTTTTCCCCCTTTTGGCTCCTGCTTTTTCTGTGGTCATCCAGGCCCCTTGTGCTCCTGCCCTGCTGGGGGTTCCTCCCCTTCTCCCACCCCTCTGCTAACTCCTGCACCCAGGCTCAGGGGGGATACAGGGATATGTATATGGATATTCCCCCATACCTGAGGCAGGTACCCCTAGCCCACCACTCCAGCTTCCCCCTACTGGATGGGGGGG